CCCCCCCCCCCCCCCCCCCCCCCCCCCCCCCCCCCCCCCCCCCCCCCCCCCCCCCCCCCCCCCCCACGAGAAAAGGAAGAACGGCGGTGTTAAGAGCAAGGAAGTCCGTCGCGATGATCCAGAGGGAAAAAAGAATTAACGCGGGCGGGTGATTGGATCGGTTTGATGGCATGAGATTGCAGTGCCATCGCTTTTCCCCACACGGTCCGCTATCTTTAGTATAGGGGCCGCGTCGGGCGGTGGCCTATGACAGTCGATGAGAGTTGAGATGAGGCTGACTGTATGGGGCTGAATCGATAGGGGAGTAGTGGACAGAGCAGATACTGTCCGATTGATCAAGTGAGATAGGATCTTCAGTTTATCAGCAAAGTCCAAGAGATGCGGACTGTCAACATGAAGCCCTAAAAGAATGGGGGACGCCAAAAAGAAAAATAGAAAAAAAAAAAAAAAAAGGAAATGTCCTCCCGTCGAATGCCGCGCCCCACTCATGTCACACCTGGCCAATAAGGGCTTGAGCCCCTGAGAGGGGCCAATAGGGGTGCAATCAATCCCTGAAGGCTTGCATCAACCCCTTTCCGGAAGTATACGGCAGTCAACAGACTCCCTCATCCAGACAGGATGTGTCTTACGATTGAACCCGGGTGATTAATTAATGTCAACAAGTTTAATAGATTATAAAGCGGATACAAACAATATCTTTCAGATTTCTAGAACATTATAGGAGAGAGCAGCAACACCTAGTACAAAGAAGTGCTATCGTCGTGCTACCAAAGCATACCACATTCGGCGCTATGAGGATCGCACCTACGAATAGACCACATCACTAAATCCACCTAGATCTTCTGATTAGATTCGCTGATTCCATGTGAACCCGGGCAGGAGATCAAGGCACCTACCTAAATCCCAATGAAACTATACTTGACAGCCGGCCACAACGTGGTCTTCTGGATGTACGGATAAATCAAGTTGAATGAACGAAACAATCGATTGAGCTAAGTGAGAATTCAGAGATCCCTACGTATACGTCCAACAATCCCATTTCCCAATACAACAAACCCTCAGCCTAAACATCCTCCAACACCTCCTTCGTCCCCTCCCTCGCAAACACCATCTGCATAATGTGCAGCACCTTCTCACTAAATCCGACCTCCGTGTAAGTGAAATAATAAATATACTTCAACCGGAACAGCTCTATTTCCTCGTCGGAGAGTGAGTACTCCCTCCGCAGCGCCGGCGCGATCTGCGTTTCGTAATTGTCTGTGAAATTCTGTCGCCATTCTGCCAGGGCGCGAGCGTAGTGCGCATCGTATTCGTACAGAGATTCTAGGCTCAGCATGTGCTTGGTGCCGTTGTTGACGGCTTCTAGGAATCGGGTGAGGCTGGCGTTGTGGCCGCCTGGGAAGATCTGTTTAGGTTAGGATTGTACTTGGAAAGAATTGATTGAGGGCTGAGAGGGAGGGAAAAGAGATACGTACATAACGGGGGATAAATCTGGATATTGGTATGCATGTTAGAAGTGCATTGGTTTAGTGGGTCGAAGATAGAGAGCGAGATAAATATACATACCCCTCACCCTTGGGGAACTGATTCCTATACCGCTATTGATCCTCATCAGCATAAAAACCACCACAAACCATTCAAAGAACTGCAAAGAAAAAACATACCGATTCAGGCATCATGACCGTCTGCACACAAGCAATCCCTCCCTCCTTCTTCAGCATCCGATCAACCACCCCCCAAATCACCTCTAAATCCTCATTGAGATTCGCCTCGAACATCTCGATCGCGATGAACTTGTCATACGGCACCTCGGGTACCGGTAGACTTCGATAATCGCACAGCAGCACGGTGATCTTATCACACAACCCCATCTCCTCGATTCGACGATCTGCTTCCTCTTTCTGTCGCACGGAGAGCGTGATGCTCGTCACGCGACAGCCGGTTGTACTAGCGGCACGAATCGCCATGCTGCCCCATCCGGTTCCGAATTCGAGTAAGTGGTCTGTCGGTTGCAGGTGGATGGCTTGGATCAGGCGGTCAAGTTTGCGATACTGGGCTTGTTCGAGAGTGTCGTGGGCGTAGTCGGGATGGGAGCGCGGGAGATAGATTGGGCTGGAATAGGTCATGTCCGGGGACAGAAAGGCGGCGAACATGTCGTTGGAGAGGTCGTAGTGGGCGGCCACGTTGAGGGCGGTGCGGTTGACGGTGTTGGTGTCGGTGGTGCGGAGGAGGAGGTTCGAGAGGGTGGCGAAGATGGTGGATGTGGGAGTCGTGAAGTTGGAGAGGTGGGTGCGGTTGAGGATGAAGATCTGATATGGTTAGCCGTGTCAACTCTGGGTGCTGGTATGTTTTGCTGGGAAGAGGACCTGAAATACTGCCTTTAAATCGGACGTCGTGATTTCCTTGAGCATGAACGAGTCCGCGAATCCCTGTTTCAATTAGCGAGATTCAGAGGCATGAGGTGGGAATGTTACAATATCAGCAGATATCAAAATTCGATACCAAAATTTGGCATCGTGGACAGTAATCATGGCACTTGGGCCGGTTTTGATGGACCCGAATGTCCACTCCATGCCGTCTGAAGTGCAGACCACCAAATATCCTTTCGTTATGCCTTTCAAGGAAGAGAGCACCAGTTTCCGGGCGATCTCTGTAGGCACAATCTGTGCGCCCCAGAACAAGGTAGATTGAGCGCCATCGAGAACTCGTTTCGTGGCCGATCCAAGAACTCGACCGAGATCCATGTTTAATATTGTAAGTAAGTGCGACAGCGCAGTAGAGCGACTTGTCCCTGTGGCTTTTTATAATCCTGCAAGCTGTCGCAGTGAGGGGGATGATTACTATTCATACCAGAGTGGCTAGCCTAGAAATATAATCCTGTCCATATCATGTCAGAGCTAGACAGTATTAGGAACTAGTAGATTCAGGATATTGCTGCATGCATTAGACCTGATACGCGGACCATTAAGACAGCCAAACCATGCCAAATCAGCACCCCTAGAGTAGATGATAAACCCTTTTGGGCATGACGGCGCGTCAATCCGCGGGATCCGTCACTGCTATTCGTTGCTTAAAATTTCCGCTCTCTGCTGAAGGATGACGAGATTGCGAAAGCATCTAGACTCTTGCTCCTTGCTGCTCTAGTCATGAGTGGTGCATAATACACCTAACGTCGGCTAGATTAGCCCTAACTTCAAACCCGTCAGCGGGAAGTGAACGATGCATACTTATGGGCTGACTGAGTATTTAATTGATACAATTAGAAGTGTAACAGTATGGAATGTATGTACAGGTCAAATATGGTTCAAAATCTACTGTAAATGTAAATAGTCCTGTTTGCTCAGTCCCCTTTGCCATTCTAGCAACTTTGAATGGGGTTCGAGTTTGCTTTTACACTTACCCTAGACCAGCGAATGATCGATTTTAATTAGCGATAGAAGCTCCCTGGCTAGGTTTTCCCTCCATACCTCCGAGTACAAACGCCCGGCGAAGTTAGAAACCGGTATCTCAAACCTAGCTGCCAAACTTGCCAAACCCGCATACACAGCCCCTTACTCACAATGCCACATGTTAAGCTAAGCCTTTTACTCAAGATCTGTCCCAACTCAAATTGAACTACACAGTCCCGATCCATCTCCAACGTACAATCTCACCAACATGCATCCGCATAGGCTCCTCTTCTCTGATCACCCTCATCGATTTCTCGACTAAATCGACTCCTCATACTACTTTATAGTCTACGCTACTGTCAGCGAAGATGGGGCAATTTTACCGCCAGGATTCAACACCTTGCCGTTTGCCGTCTAGATCAACTCTGACGGCATTTCATGGCTTCAAGATAAGCCGATTTCAAAGAAGCCACGTAGTCATATTGCACTTTAAATAGTTTCGTTTCTATCGTCTAAATCAAGATGATCAGACCTTCATTGAGCTTCGATTCTGCATACAAATTACTAGGCAATACGAAACCTTCATGATCCAATAGCTACTTTCTTAAAGTCCTGGCGTAACCGCCTAGCATCCCATCCGCTGCGGTTAACTTTAGGCCATCAGCCTGTATTAAGTTTTTAAACCTTATCTAATTTATACCCGGAAATTAATGCAACCAGAGAAGTAGCCAAACGTCACGGTCTAAAGAGCCCAACCGCAGACTACAACTTCTGAATCTTCTGAACCGGAGGAATCAGAACCGCCGTCTAATGACCGATCGCAATCAAATCCATCTTCTCATCAAACAACAAAACCTCCATATCCATCCGGCCGTTCAGGATGCGCTTGCATTCGTTTCGCAGATAGAGCCACCGCACGCCCTCCGCAGGGAGCCGCTGCTTGATCTCCGTCGACAACGTCAATGAGACATTGACCATTCAGGCCTTCAGCATCTTCGACCCGTCATCGTCTAGCGCTCGCCAATTCTTTCGCCCTTCTAAGCGCGCCTTCTGTTGCTGCGAGGCAAACTCGAGCGTCGCCGCGATGCTTCCCATCGATGGCTTGCCGTCTATGGGGGGAATAGATTCTCCTGCACGGGAAGCGACATTTCCACAATGAATTGGATCATTTCGTTCGTCCACCGCGCGTAGGTGTCTGTTCCGCTTCCTTTCCGCACCAAAGACCCCTGCGGATGGCAGTCCCAGCCCGGTTCAATCCACTGCTCTACGAAGGGGTTTTCGCGGCGCGAGATCCTCGGGATGAACGCCTTGGCGTAGGAATGGCCCCGTCGGAACCCGTCCGGGTAGAAGGCGCAGTGGTAGGAGATCCAGTCCGGGTGACTCTCTGTTTCGAGTTTCTAGAGGTCGATGGGTTTGGGTGCCGGCGAGGGATGCCAGCCTGTTTGGAGCGTTATGCCTTGGATTGAGAAATTGGTGATTCTGGCCATTCATGTTAGAAATTTCTCGTCGAGAATATTTATATATCTACTCACACTAGATCGCCCGATGTCGTGAGCTTCTCGCTCTGGGAAGGATTCGACGCGTAGCGTGGACTAGCCCTTGCCGATACTCACCTCTCGTAGAGTCATTGTCATCGGCTTGGTGGGGAACATGGGGCGAGAGAACTGTACGATCGCGGAGCGAAGATCAATCTGGTGCTTCAGCTTGGGATGGTGCCGGGCATAGTGGAGGGCATATTTGGCCATCACACAGGCGATGTAGCCTCCAATTGTTACTGTAATATAGCCAGGGTCAGTCCGCGGTCAAGATAAATAAATATACATTTGAAGCCAGAGGAAGGAGGATTTCTGTGGAATACCATTGCCAATCCCAATGTCTGAGGGGAGCTCTAGCGTCGTTGAGGGGCCGCTGGACGGCTGAAAGTCCAGGGCCTTGGAGAGACTCGTAGGAGAAGTCGCCATGATGGATGTTCAAGTAGATTGAACACAATTTTCTTTTGTTTTAACACCCACGCAGGGAATGATTGGAGGTACTTGATCTATGAGAGAGAAAAAAAAGAAAAAAAAAAAAAAAAAAAAAAAAAAAAAAAGAGAGAGAGAGAGAGAGAGTAGAAAGCGCCCCGGGTTGAAATAGCAGAGGAACAAAGACAGAAATGATACAGCCTTGTCGGGCCCTTGTCTAGCGTACCCTCTCTTTTCCCCAGATCCCTGCACAGACGCACCCCGAGGCCACCAACCGATGCAGTCCCAATGAAAATCCCCAGGCTCAATTCTTGTTCAACACATGGCACATGTTCTCGCTGCTCACGTCCCAGCCGAGGTGGTTGAAATAAAAACGGAACTGATTTCCGACTTTCCAGAATTCTTATTTTACCTTATTTTATCGTCTGTGTTCTTGCCATGGAGATACACATGGACAATTCATCAGGGGAAAACATCCACGAATGTGTCTGTCTGTTCAGCACAGCTTCAGGGAGCGTCTTCTTGATGGGAAGCATCGCCTCGAAATTTATATATCTTACGGACTAAAATGTAGTTTCCAAGAGTTACCGGAATTCTTAGTCCATAACATTTATAAGATATAAAACAAGTATATCTACATTAGAATCAATCTAATCGAACGACGAAAGCCACATACATACAAATACCATATCCGATTTCCATGCGCAGGTACCTGCCCACGTTAATGATAAATAAATTCAGTCCTGAATCAATCCACCGATCAAACATGTCTAGTAAACCAAATCCGGGAATCCTGCCTCGTCGAACAGCGTGGCCCGCGCTTGCACCATGGCGGAGACCTCTAGGAGAAATTCGTATAGGATCACCACGTTGGTGAGGACATGGCCTAAGGTGGATACCTGGGGGTCGTCGTCGGCGATAGCACTCTCGTCGTGGTCGTGGTCTTCCTCTCCGTCTGTCGGCGGTTTCTGGTCTTCCGCGTTCTGCTCCGGCTCCGGCGCGCTGGTCTTGTTTGGCTGGTCGAGATGGAAGGGCTGCGCGAGTCGTTTCCGGAGTTCTTCTGCCGCTATGGCACGCGACGCGGAAGAGTCTCGAGATGGTTGGGAGTGCTCGGAACGCTCTCCGAGCGGGGATCCCGCGGCGCGTCGTGGTGAAGATCCGACACTGTGTTGCGCCAGAGGGCGAGAAGATCTGTCACGAGGCGATCCAAGGTCCTCTAGGGGTGCATTCCGCACGGCTCGATCGGCCGGCGGCAGGGAATGACGCGGAGCACCGCTGGATGTTGAGGCCGGTTTGTCGCCGTGGTGCAGTAGATCCCGTCGGGCGGCGACGAGGATGTCAAAGTCAGGTATTTCCTTGCGCCATTGGTGGAGTTTCCGCACAAGGCCCTTCAACACGGCCGTCAGCGTTGGCGTGTCAGACTTGGACCACGAAGGCTCCTCGTAGGCCAGTTGGATCTGGTCGAGAATATTTGTCTGGTCGGTTGCTTCCGCGTCACCACGACCGTATTTGTATTTAGCAGGATCCACGAGCAGCCAGCCATCTAATGATAGGAGGTGCGAGGATGCAATACTCATGAGAACCTCCGTCAAAGCGAGATTGACAATGACGCTGTTGGTGAAAAAGTTGTCGAGGCAGTTCAACAGTTCCTCCACAATGGGGTCATCTTGTTTGATCTCAAAAGGTATATCCTCCTCCGGGTCGTCATCCTCGGCCGGCGGGAGGGACAGGTGAGATTCCACAATCAAGGTGGCGTCCTTCAGGTAGTTCTCGAAAGAGTCGTCCAACGTAGGCTCGTCGAGGATAGATGTCGCCATGCCTAAAAATTGCTGCAGTTCGGCATTGAGGGCGCCGACCGTGCGCTGCTTAGCGGGCTGACCGGGGATGGTCCGAATTAGAGATCGCGCAAAAGTATGATGTCGTTGGAGAACAACTGCCATTAAACGCAGTGTCGCGAGTACAGTTTGGCGGTTCGCGGATTGCATGCCAAGCAAGGCCAGATCTCGGAGATTGAACAGGGATGGCGATGGCCGTGCCGCCTCTTCTGAGAAGGCAGCCAAGACATCCAGCGATTTCCGTCGGCTTACGGACATATCCACGCCTTTTCCAACCGGCGTCGACTCAAAGCCCGTAGGAGATGCCAGCAAGAAGTGAAGGATTCGGTGCACCAGGTCATCCTGGTCTATCGATTCGAGAATTCGATACAAGTAGGTGAGCACCGCAGCCGTGGAGCCTCCTTGGACGTCCGACGACTCGAGCAGAGATGGGTATCTGTAAACCGAGCGTCAGTTGGGATCAGACGATCGGGCAGACGATGCTTACAGAAGCTGTTCGAGGAACAAGACCTGGAAGTGGTCCAGCAGTGTACCATTGACTTCCGCAGATTTGCAATGGTCAATAGTATCCTGCCAGAATAACAGATACGACATGAACGAGTCCATCGTCACACCCAGCGACGGCGGAAGGGCTGTGTCTTGAGTTCCATGGTCTGACAGCGCGATAATAGCCGGTACCTTTTCCTCCGGTGTTTCGGTGAAGGTCAAACTATATCCATTAGGCGGTGACTTATCGAGCTCATCCAGTAAACTCACCTGCCCAGCTGACTATACAGCGCACCAAGACCCGTTGCCATCAAAGTCGCCAGATCACTATCGATTAACCACCGCTCCAGGGCATTCGACCGAGAAGCCGTCTCGATGAGATACAGCAAACCCGTGCGAGCAAAATCACCCGCCCGACCGGCATGGTGCACATACTCGACCAGCAGATAAAACAGCGGAAAATCGTCCTTCCTCGTCGCACCGGCAAACTCGGCCCCGCTAGAATTCTGCCGCTCGCCGTCCTCGTCGGCGCGCGGGGCGAACCACGCCGGGAGGATATCCGGCTGCAGACGAATATTGTTAGCGACGCCGAACAGCAGTTCGACGAGCCGTCCTTCGACATCCTCCGAGCTCTTGTCGGCGCGCCGAACGAGGTCGACCAGGGCGCGTGCGAAGAGTCGGTTATCGACCACTCCGTCGACTTCGGAATCGATGAGGGTGTTGAAAAACACGGTTGCAGACCGCAGCATGGCATCGTCGTAGGAAGACAGGGCGAGTTTGGTGACCGTCACGAAGATCTGGGAGGAGGAGGCATAGGCCAGGCACGGATGGGGTGCCGGACCGCGGGATTCATCACTGAGCACGGAGATCAGTCGGTCGACGGAGCTGCGCGCATGGGTTGTCGCAGACTGGTCGCCGGTGGGGGTATTCGTCGAGCGCCATATTTGCTAGAAGCCAACTATCAGCGACAGAGGGCAGATCCTGGGAGCGACTTTCTCACCTGTAGAGTATTGCACGTCCGTTTAAACGCTGCCAATCGTTCTGTAGGAGACGTCGCCCGGAAGCTTTTAGTAGACAACGAACGGGAGCCGCCAATTAGACGAGACCACTGCTGGGGTTAGCTCTAGTTGAGGGATGCCTGTCGATGCAAGTTGGATAGCAAGGGGCTGCACGTACAAAGTCCATGTTTCTGTGACCACAGCATGATACTACTCCGCGGAGGAAAGAAGCATGGGCGAGGGCGTGGGGAGAAGATGACGGAGAGCAGAAGCCAGAAGTCCGGCCCAGGGCAACGCGCGCCCCAAAGGGGTTTAGCGCGCCGAGGTGACCCTGGCCAAGACGGGACTAGAGGGGATGCCCCTGTCTGCCTGAGGCTGCGGTCCCGTGCTCGTGCTGCGAGAGGTGCAGGTCTGCCGAGGCTTTTCGAGGATACTGCCTACGCGTAGCCCGCAAAGCATCTACAATTGATACGACTTCTATAGAATCAAATATAAAAAAAAAAAACAGACCGTTGATACCCGTAGGCCAAACCCTAGAAAGCAAACTACCAAAGTAAAAAAAGCGAAACACAAGAACTGAGGTATTCACATCGCAAGATGCAAGTCCAACCGTGCCCACTACCACAACGCCAAGAGAGTATGCGCCCGCTCTCCATCCCGGTCTAAAAGATCGCCCATCAAAATCATTCACAAAGAGAAGAGAGAAACGAGAAACGGAAGGAGACAGAAGACAGAGCAGAATGCCGGCCGCCCTAATCGCTGTCGTCCTTCGGCTTGCGCCCGCCACGCTTTCGTTTCGGTTGCTCGTTCTGATCGCTGCCGTCGTCCTCGTGCTTCCGCGCCGTGGGTTGGTCCGGCACTTTGGCGATGATGTCGGCCAGGAAATCGAGCACTTCGTCCTTGGCGACGGCTTGTTTGAGATGCGACGCGGTGACGCGTTTCGAGTTGCGATCCTTGGCTTCCTTGGCGGCTTTCGTGACGAGGGAGATCATGAAGAGTTCGAGAGCTTTCGCTGTAGGCAATCAATCAGTATACACCGCTTCGAACAAAGAAAAGACGCGTCGCGAGCCAAACACACGGGCCAGGACAACTTACACACAGCAATTGGCGTCACCTGGGCCACCTTCCCGACATCCTCGTCCGCCTGCATGATGCGCTTGATACGCGCGACGGGGAACTTTGTCTTTACTTCCACGTTGGTGATCGGGGCCACCGGTTCGACGGGGGCCTCAGGCTCTTCGGGCACGTCGGGCACGTCGGGTTCGATGGGTTCAATGGGTTCGACGGGTTCGACAGGGGACGGCGGTTGAGGAGCTTCCTCCTCGGACAGCGGCTCGACGTACCGGGGATCGGGACCGGGCGCGACCTCGGCGGCGCGCGCGATGCGAGAGGACCGACGAGCCATGTCGGTCGGGTCTAGATGGGGATGAGTAAACGGGGGGATATACTGCTGGTGGTTCGCGGCGAGCGGGGCGTGAGAAGGCTGATATTGCGGGGTGAAGAAGGGCGAGGCGTCGTAGGAGGCGCGATGAGCCAACGGGCTGGACAACGGATAGACGGGGTGAGTGACGGCAGGAGAGAGGGGGGATTGCAAGGTGGAAAAATCGGGCGATTGGGGTCGGTAAGAATTGTCTTGATCGGTCATTGCTAAGTGGGTTTTCTCAGCGAGGATGCGCGCGTGTGCCAAAGCGGAAGTGGCTAGTGGAAGAAATTATGGAGATTACGGTACCTTGGTGTCCACTAGGTAGACGCGATGAGGTGGAATCGATGTCTCAAATAAGTTGCAGGATTGAGAGGCACGAGGAATGCGATTGATGGATGGACGAGAGCCAATAATGCCGGGTTGGCCGATGAACCGTCGAATAAACTCTCGAGGGACCGAGGAGATGGAATCAACAATAATCACAGGTATGAGGTAGTAAATGGCCCTAGCGTAGGCAAAAAGGGCGTGCGCATACGACAGGCGGGCCGTGGGCGCAGCAGCCGAAAGATGAAGAAGGTCCGCCTTTTCTTCCGGAGAAGCAGCGACGCGCCCTTTTTAACCCTGGCGGGTCGTCGAGCGCGGGCGCTAAAAATATTCCCTTTGCTTTTTCTTTCTCCCTCCCTTCTGGAATTGTTCTCGCATTCTTCATCGTACGCAGTATCACTCTTTCCCTTTCTTTATTGTGTTCTCATCATGATCTCCCGCGTCTTCTCCCTTGACACTGACTTCACTGCGTCCTGAACCCCCTCCGTATACAACGACTCAGTATGACTCTAGGATCCCATGAATGATCCTTCCATGATGCCCTCCGACCGTTGATTGGTCCCTGTCTGCGGTCTGCTTCCGGATCGATGATGTAAATGGAGAACCGCTCGTGGTTCTGCCTTGGGTCATGGCTGTGACCGCGTTTCTCTTCCCTCGGTCTTCTCGTTCTTCGCTTTGTTCGTCCGTTTTGTTTTTCTTTGGTTGTCCTCGGCCTTGTACGAACACGAACACAACCAAGGACGCGCGATGATGATACGATGAGCTCCCGAGATGTGTCCGGGGAGACCGACCGATGCGCTGAGACCGTTGTGGTATCGCCGTCTCGACTCTCCCTTCTTGCCCTTGGGCATTTCATCGCTGAGGGTTAAATAACTTGATCTAATCTGATGCGCGTTTTGGTGGTTTGTATGGCGTTGTTTGTGGGTTTTGGAGGGATTCTATACTCCCCTCCCCGTAGGTTTTAGACACTTCCCGTACGGAGTAGTAGTGATGGTACATACTTCCCTAGTCTACACAATAACACTTCGTAGGCAACCACCTCATCCCTTCCCCCTGATGACTCGGACGTCTGACATGTCGGAAGGCACCTGTCGCGTGAGATCGACAGGGTGCGCGGCCACACGTTCTGGTCTCGATTTTAACTCGTCGGTGTTATTGGTCCGCAGGCAACGGCCAACATGTGGAATGCTTCTACTCGAAGGTTCCTCTCCGGTAAACTTCGGTCCCCAGCCAGTGGACACGGGGATACATCCACCCTTGCAGGAAGAGGCAATGCATGAAAAGGAAACCCGCCGGGGGCCGCCCGCCTCCGGGGCCACGTTGTTCCGTCCCGATCCGCCTCTGGGGTTTTGCTTCGGCCAAACTTCCTCGTCGCTTCTCTTGCGACAAGCCTTCAAGTTCTCCTCTCTCGCCGGCTATTGCTTCTCTCGACGCTGTTGGACATGGGTCTCGCCTGTTAATTGATGGCCCCTCGAGTCATGTCGTCTGTCTTTGCCATCTCGGCCGCCATCTCGCTGTCTTGAGCCTCGCTGGCTGATCTTTTCACCTCGTCACTTATCGCTCTTTTTCTCTCGCCCGGCCTTGACTCCGACTCTCTCCATGGCCGCCGCGGACCAGCCCTCGGGCTTGATGGAGATTGCGAGGTAATTGCTGGGTGCTGAGCTGTTGCTGTGTTGGTGGCCCGATGGCTAATTTTTGTTTTCTCAATCAGCTCCCTCACGCAAGATGAAATCCCGTTCAAACTACGGTGCGCGATTTGCAACAAGCTTGCCGTGAATGCTTTTCGCTTGCCCTGCTGCGATCAAGCCATTTGCGAAAGCTGTATGAACCTCTCATTTCCCATACCTTGTGCTCGTCTGACGACTCTATAGGCCAAGCATCGCTTCCCGAAACTTGCCCCGTCTGCGCGCACACGCCTCTTACGTCCGATCTCTGCAAACCGAACAAGGCTCTGCGCACCACACTGAAGGCATTCCTTCGCACCGAAGAAAAGAAGCGCGAAAAAGAGCGACAGTCCGCTACGCCAGCCGTCGCGAATGGCACGACTCCTCTGGAAGGAACACCCGCGCAACAAGACGCGCCGGCTCCTCCCAATGCCCCTGAAGAGAAGGCGACTGAAGAACCGCCGCAACCGCTGCCAGTGAATTATCAAGTTCCGGATCAGCGTCCCGTCGAAGCCAATGCTGCGGAACATCAAATCCATGATGTGGAGCCAGGACCCGAAGCTCCTGATGAGGCTCCAGCTCAGGTAGGCTCGAGTCTGTATTTAATTTAACCGCTTTTGCTGACATTGTGTCACCAGGATGCTCATCCTGAAACTTTCCCTGCCGATGCGGCAGATCAGGCTGACGCTGCACCCCAGGACGAACCCGTCGAAGGTGAAGGAAATGACGAGAACCCGGCCCAACCCGCCGAGCAAGAAATGGCCCAGGACCAAGCAGCGAACCCGATGGCGTCGAACACTATGGGATTCAACATGGGTGCCGGAGCTTTCCCAAATATGGCCTGGAACAACAATGCCGGGTTCAACCCGATGTCCCAGCAGTTCATGGGCGGTGGTGGGATGTTCAATTTCCCGAACCAAATGGGTTGGTACCTCCTTCCGTACACGGTTATGGAACTCGATCACTAACCAGTCTCACCAGACATGCCTGGCATGGCGATGGACCCGATGGCCGCGAATCAGGGGATGATGGGAGGCTACGGAATGAATATGAATGGCATGAACAATGGCATGAATATGGGCATGAGTTTCGACGCGGGTCAAGGGATGTATGGGGGATGGGACGGCTCGCAGAACAATATGTGGAATGGAGGCCAAGATAAATTCAATCCAAATGCTTTCGCAAATGGTATGGGCTCGCAGTATGGGGCCCCACCTGGATTTGGCGGATATAATATGTCTCAACCCAACGGAGTTCATGCTCAAATGCAGCACCAGCAGTTCCCTAGCCAAGATTATCCGTCCGGCTACCATGGCCCCGGTTTTGGCAGAGGTAATTTCCGAGGTCGCGGCCGTGGCTTCTTCGGCGGTCGTGGCCGTGGCGGTTTCCCCGGCTCCTCTATGCAGGCTAACTACCCTCCTTATCAAAACCATAACTCCCCTAATTTCAATGCAGACATGGCATCTCAGTCGCACGAGGACGTATCTCCGGATCTGCCATCCGGGGATGCAAAGGATGTCGACGGCGCTGACGAGAATGTTCCAGGCAGTGAGCAGGAAGTCTCTCAGATCCCGTCTTCTACCGACATCCCTAGCGGTGCCGATGGTAATGCCACGGAGAGTGTCCCAGGCGACGTAGCAGGGGACGCTACCGGAGTGGAGGAGGATTCTTCCCAGCTTCGAGGTATACCGACCATCGACAGCCTCGACGAGGCCAACGCCCAGGAAATGTCTAGCGGCCCCATGGGCATGAACGGTCACATGGGCCCCGGCTTTGGGCGAGGTGGCTACATGCGTGGAGCTTTCCACGGAGGCGGCCGGAGTGGGTTTGGCGGTCCCTTTATGTCCCAACCTAACATGCACCAAGTCCCGAGAGTCAATCCCGGCGTTGAAGGTGCACCCGCTGCCCCTCGAGCCATGCGCCAGGGACTTCCTAACACCAGCGTGTTGCGTCAGCGGAATTTCCAAGGAACTGGGCGATCTCCTATCCCCCGGCCCGACGCTTCGCAGAGGTAAGACTTTTTCTCATCGTGGAAGATTCGTCTATCTAACGTTGAACCTTTGGACAGTGCCACCCCCACCGCGCAGGAAGACCCGCAGCCGCAGTTTGAGCCTAGATCGAGATCTCAGTCGCGAGGCCGGTCTCCGTCGAAACCACGGAGCCATTCTCGTTCTCCTGCACGATCGCCCTCGCACTATGATCGCACGTATCGTCAACGCTCTGCAAGTATTGACCGAAATACGGAAGACTCCGAACGTAGACGCGAGCGACGCAGAAGAGAGGATCGGCACCCAGACCAGGCGGCAGATGATCGTCGCACTCGGTCCCCTTCCGTCGAGTCTCGGAAATCGTCCTACCGTCGCGATCGAGCTCGGGACCGGCGAAGCGATCGTCGGCCGCGTCGGTCACACCGTCGGAGCCTCAGCGCTAGTCGCAATGGGGACACCCGCGACGCCGATCGTCTTTCCCTGATCCCGGAGGATAAGGGCACGGGCTCTCGGAGCAGAACCCCAGCTGCCGCAGACGCGGTTGAATCATCGAGTAGACGCACCAGAGATCGCCCTAGTCGTCGCGAAGAAGAACGCGAGAGAGAGAAAGATAGCAGACGTCGGGACCGGGATCGAAACCGCGACCGCGAACGGGACCGAGATCGTGACCGTGACCGTGACCGTGACCGATATCGCGAAAGAGAGCGGGACCGCGACAGGGAAAGGGACCGGGATCGCGATCGTCGTCGGGGCCGTGAAAAGGATCGCGAGCGCGAGAAGAAGCGCTCCCGTCGCGATCGCACGGCTTCGCCCGCCGACAGCGAATATTCGTCCCGCCACCATTCCCGCCGCGTCAAGCGCAGCCGCGACGACGAGCGCGCCAAAGACAAATCCTCCAAAACCACCGAACCCGAAAAAGATCCCCACACCCTCGAGCGCGAAGCTCGCAACCGAGAACGCATGCTGAAGGAAAAGCAACGCCGCGAAGCCATGCAGGCCGACGGAGGCGGCGGCAGCAGCGGCAAATCCGGCCGCAGACGTGACAGTCGTCAGGAGCGAGGCCTCCCCGGCGGACGACGACTCAGCTACAAATACGAAGACGAAGAGAATGACGATTCTCGCGCTGCTCGTGTGGAAAAAGAACGCGAGGCCGGTCGTTGGGCTTGAACCGAACTTTGCTTCTCTTCATCTCCTCCTCTTCTTCCTTTTTGCAGCGTTCAAAAAATCGCATATAGAAAAACCAAGCTTGTCTGGTCTGGTTTCCAGCAAATATTCTTTTCGCATTCGTGATGTTGCTTTTGGCATGGGAGAGAAAAATTGCCTTGTGGTAGAATTCTGGGGTACGGATGTAGATACCTACACTACACTACCTACATACCATACACCCTTTCCGTTCACTGTAGATATCTGGCCATGTGGGATGGGATGGGATGGGTGGAATGGATGATGGTTCTAGATAGGACAATCTATAATCTACAATCTACATTTCCATTTCTGACTGATGTGTTTTTGTTTGGTTAAGTTGTAGTTGTAGGTGGATAGCCTACGTAGAGAATTTAGGTATCGGTATGAATATAATGTTGACAATCGTTCGGACTTCAACTAGACCAAAAAGTCAACTGACTGATGGTTCAGTCCTTGTAGCACTTGATATATCAACAGACTATTTTGATTTGATGGTTGGGATGCGTGTTATGCTGCATGTTATCTATATATCTATATACGTAGTACCGAGATTTCCGTAGAAGACCGCTAGGCTAAAGTAATCTGTTAGATACTGTGTGGCAAATTTCTCAAATAAGAAATAAACCTTGATCAAGTTAGTTGTCCCGGTTAATGTAAATATTGTTGACGTGTTAGATACTCCAAGAACTGACCATTGCCTAGGGGAGGCCTCTTGGTCCGGCTGCTCGGGATCGGCGAGGTGCGGTTGTGGTCTGTATGGTTACCCGTAGTTGCCGGCCAGGTCGGCCCTTGTCATTTCTTTTCTGAACAACTTCCTTACTACTACTCAAATTAGCGTAAATAGCCTGTATTAAGCGAGGGAATGTAAAGCTCACCATCCCCTGTCATTTCTTCCCTTGCCTGAAGAGCATAATGATCGCTATGCTCATGAAAAAGGAGAAGGTCGTCCGGCACCTTAGTACCTATGCCTACTTAGATGATGTCTGATCATGGCTCAATTTGATTTACCTGCAGGAACCGCATAAACACAAACAGATGCACCTTTGAAGGCTCGGGCAAGTTGCTGTTGTCTTGGGGTATTTGGACGCATTGAGGCGCCATTTGGAGCTAGAAACTGTTAGATATACCAAAAATGTATCATAGGAAACGAGGCTTATTACCTTCATAGGTTTCTGGTTCGAGCGCCTAGGGTTGCACTTTACCCTTCACTGTCAGGACATCGAAGCTTCTTTGTGGTCTCAAGGGCCCTTCGACCATACGAAGGTGGATTAAGGATCCATTGTTCAAGCCCAAACAGCTCTTTGGGAAAACGGTCCAAGGGCAACCTGTTCATGACTATGAGGATGGAATAGGTTCTATATAGAATTCTGCTTTAGTCAAACTGGAGTGCCAGAAAGTTGATGATATTAAGAATTGTCTGAAGGGAGCACCTGATATTTATATTCTAATTTCTTTACTGTTTAATTGTTAGTCGCCTTAAGATTCATCCTAGTAAGCCTCTTTTGTCAGACGACGGCAGGATACAATAAGTAATTAATTGGGTAACTCGACTTTCTGATAGCCACTTCTAAATTTAGAATGGAGATAACAGGTTCAAGAATTGGTGGATAAGCAACCGGGTTATCCGCAATATGAGAAGACTGCTTTTCTTGGACTGAAAAAATTACTAAAAGTATCCAAATCTTAATCGAGGTTTTGTTGTGACAGTATTAGAATATATTCATACTAAAGCTAGGTATAATATATTTTTAATCTAGGCTTCCCAAAACAAACAGATCAATGATGTAATCTACTGTGTATGAATTTTGCAATAGGTATTAACTTACAAAGCTAACAAGTACACTAAATATTTCTAATTCATTCAACACGCCTAAACAATTCCGAGAGATTCTCAATCTCATGCGGTGGGAAAACTAGCTCCCTGGTTCCAAGTCTGGGGGGTAACATTGCAAATTGATACATAGGAAATTCCTCCATGAGCATAGCCTCATGTAGGCAATAAAGAGACCTTCTATACCAGTCGTGTCTCTGTCCTGGTTCAAGCATCACTTGTGCAGCCTGGCGCACCATGCCTACATGCCCACAAAGCCAGTGTAGGTGTGCAGCATAATAGAAGGCACCGTCTTCCGATGACAGGGCAAAAAGGCTTCTCGCCAAACCTTTGAGAATCTAATCAATAAGATCCAAGCCAGTTGTGATATTACACCTAGCATCAATTTTAGACAACCTTTCCACAATAAAGATAATATCATGATGGAAAAGCCACGTGCTGATTGGTAACTGTTGGTATCACCAGCTAGGCACTGTGTACACAGTTAAGTGAACAGGTTGTTTCTGAAGCGAAAGTATAGATTGTAGATAGATAGATGTATCTCCTTCCCAGGTCAGGTTCCAAGATACCCCTTTTATCCCGTACGCGGATACTCGGCAGTCACAACACCGGAGCCGTAGCCTCACGCAAGAATGCATACGTACACCGAGCAAGGGATGTGATGTGTCAGACGCTAGCGGTGAGTTACCGCTAGGTAATCTGTTCTGACCGGAGGATATATCCCGACAGTAACGAAGATACGCGGCTCAAAGCCCCATCATGGCTAAGACATTGATACCATAGTTGAACTATTTATGTATTAAATATATACTGATTTCCCTTTTCGTGTCGTACGGGAAACGGATATCCCGGTGGCATGAGTCTAGAAGTTTATTAGGCTCGAAGAGTTTGCACCGGAACTGCAGTATCTTGACCAGGTCAGAATCGGTTGTTGCCTCCGCACGTATTCTCAGAGGCAGGCTGATGATTGTGGACCTGCCGTTACTGCATCGAGCAACAAACAGTATTTCAGAATTCGGTGCCCACTTGACTCCACAACATGCTTGAAATTCAACAGTTTCACTGAGCTTATTTAGTGTCTCATCTGTTCCAGTGTTAGACCCAAAGGCTGTTGCGATATCATAATGTTTAGGTAATGCTTACCAGAAATGCCTAAGAGCATTTGAAATAGTAGAAAATTACAACAAAAGTTGTAGGGCTGAAATAGGTAATATTATCTAGGAAATATACTCTTTTAAGGTATTGTTAGAAAGAGATATCTTAGGTCAAATAAAGGACTTATCCAAGTGACAATACCACCAGAAAGGCATCCAGAGGAAAAAAGTGGCAAATAAATATTTCCCAAAGAGCAGCCAGGTAGTAGAGGAAACATATATCAAACAAAATAGCCAGAATGTAGTTCATCTGGTTATTACAATTTCTAGTAAATAGCTCTATAACTAATAGGAGGCGGTCTTTTTATAATAGTTCTGTATAATATTAACTGTCATGATAATGCTTTCTTGTAATCAAACCTGTCTACTTAAGCCAGAACCTCATTCACACACAAAACTATGCGCATTCCTAACGTCCCCGCCAACATAGACCAATTGCTCCGGATATCGACATAGATTGCGAGTAACAGTCGTATTGGTATCATCGACCATACTTGCGAATAACATATCCGGTGCTTTTCCATTCTCTACCCAGTTAACAAGTGTCTTGAAAGGCTCCACAGGCACCGGCCCATAACCATCTGCACAATGATCCACGCCGGGTGCAAGGAACAGACGGTAAAAATCGTCAACCTGTCCAGGATCAAGGCCCATATTCTCCTGTATCGTGTCCCGATACCAAGTCGTTCCTTGGTAATTGATAAGTCGGTCTGAGAGGCCGTGCCAGGAGAGGAGCTTGCTGTTCGCACGTCTGAACTCCGTGAGATCTGGATTGTCAGAGCCCAATATAGTGGTGAATTCGGCGACAGATCTGAAATACATGTGCTCGAAATCGGCAATGGTGAAGTTCTCTAAGAAGTAGTTCGGGTCTTTGGTCAGGAAGTATTTCATCCATGGAATGCCGAGCCGGGCTGGGATCACGGATGTTTTATTGTTGGTGGTGTTCGTGACAGCGATTCCGCTGAAGGAGGTCCCTGGCGCGATTCCATGCCATGAGATTTTCCCGTCTGCGGATCGTGGGCCTTGCGTTATCTTTGATACTGCATCTGCATGCGCTGTTGTTATTGTGAAGGTACCGTCCGAGCAAATGACCGTATCACTGGCTAAGTCACCTGTGTCGAAGTGACACTTTTGCGGATCAGATATCAGTCCGTCCGCAGCACCGTCAAGGGCATCGCATGCTGCTATATAGGCCTTCTGGTAGGTTTCAAAAACGCATTGCGGCACGGCGACACTGTCATGCATAACTGCCGTCGGCCATTCCATGCCCACGGACAGGTTTGCGCTGTGCAGAGCCGGCGCATTGGCCATGATCCCATCGAAATCATCAGGATACCGCTCAGCGGAGAAATATCCCATCCTCCCACCGGTCGAACAGCCGGAATAGTACGAGTACTTGGGATCAGTGTCGTAGAATTCTCGGATAGCGGTTTTGGCAATAACAGTCATGTCGTGGATGGAGCGGTGGGCGAAATTCGTCACGAGGCCCCAGTTGATCTTTCCTGGTTCCAAGAGAGCCCATTCTCCTGATGAGGGATTGATTTTGCCCCCCTTGCTTAGGCCGGCGTCGGTGGATGATGTCGCGTAGCCCATCTGAGTCGGCTCTATTAGGTTGGATTCGTAGCCGGCTACGTAACCTCCTCCGCCGGTTGCGAGAAATCGGCCGTTCCAGGTATCAAGTGGTAGCCAGATTTCGACATTCACGAGGTCGTTGTCTCCAGGGTGCGTAAGGGCAACGCTGAAGTTGCAGAAGCTGATGGGTGAAGTATCTGATGTCAAGATATGGTTCATCACCACATCCCCATTTGTTCGAAGCGTTTTGAACTTGTCAAACTTTGGAAGTGAGAGATCACTACATTTCTCGAACGAAGTGGCGGTAGTCATTAATGAGAAATAAAGCGGTACTATCCACGCCATCAAGAGATTACTCCGATTAGGCATGTTTATTGAAAGGTGCAAGTTGGGGCGCTCCAATACTTCTTTCACATCAAGCTATGAGAAGGGCATACCAATTCGCAGCAGTTGATATCAACGAAGTTTAAAATTCTCTGCATTATCCTAGCTCTACAAGAAATACCTTTATAATCCCCCAATATCTTGCTTATAGATCTGATGCCCAGAAAATCCCCGCGGATTGATCTACACTCGATCCGAGGTTCTTATCATGCGGGGATCAAACGCGCGAGTCATTGGGGAAATCCTTCGGCTATGAGGTAAATAATCCACGACTTATAATTCAGTACGCTTGCAGAGAGATAGTAAATATAGAAGACAACCTGAAAATGACAAATACAACGAACGTAGGAAGTTTATGATTTGTTTGGTGGAAACGCTATCTTGTCACTCATGATTATTCCAGGGGAAATCTTTTTATTCAAGCCCTTGCTTCCGTCATTTCGCGGTACTTGAACTTCTGCTAGGTAGTATTATTCTCATTCTAGACTCCGTCATGATCCACTATTGCTCCTCAGGTAGGTTAAGGGCTGGCTTACATTATGCAATATTTTCCTAGATGGGGCAATTACATGGGATAGTCAAATACGGCTGACGGCCAATAGGAAGGTTCGGGTCCCTTAATATTTTATTTATCTCTTTCCTTTCTTACTTTGTATTCTTATTCTTCCTTTCTCTCTCTCTCTCTCTCTCTCTCTCTCTCTCTCTCTCTCTCTCTCTCTCTCTCTGTTTTTTTCTTTCTCCCTAATTGTTTAACCGCTAAGGGAACTCAATATAAAACCTCTAGCATCAAGTATCTTGCTTCGATTATGTAGTTTAATTTACTTCGGTGACGACATATAGAAAGCACGCCGAGTTTACTTAAAAATACGATTTTCTTCTAGGTCGTCGAACAATATCATTTACGGAGCTACGGGCCACAAGGTAAACAAACCGGTCGCAAAAATATGACGAATTCGAGGCTTAACGTTCGCGATACAAGAATTGCTTCGCAGCTAAATAAACAAAGCAAGTTCATTCTCTATATCGAAAATCAAACACTCCACATGCGAAATACGTATGCTCGTAAGGTGTTCGAAAAAAAGCGCTTGATACTCTTTTCAGATAACATAAACATAAGACAGGAAGCATATACTATCATTAAATTAATCAGGTGTATAAGAAAAATCCGAAATTGTAGAAGATATGTTGGAGGCCCGAACACACTAAAAATATGAGAAAAGTATCGAGAGCCACACTGGACAAGGACCACAGCATGAAAGCAGAAGCCAGACTCTTCAAACGGTCAGATCGATCACACGGCGCTCCCTACCTGCTGTCAAAGGAGCATGAAATTTACCAATGTGCTTTCTGACTTTATCCTTTCTTTTAAAGATCCTGGTGCAGCCTGGGAAATGGCATGTATACGACCGAGGGAGATGCAGGGACTTGATGTGTCACCATAGATCTGCATCCCGGTTGAATGTTCCTTGGTAAGTGCGGCCATTCTATTAGCATTTTAGGATTGGTTTTCTGTCGGTCCTGAATGTACTCCGTAAGCCCGGTATATACCCGAACGATATGTGCAGATGTATCTTACTCTTTTCTGTTCGGTTGCTGGTCTTGGCACTCATTGGTGATATGGGTGGGTTGATTGACAGTATGTCCATTGTTCATGGGGGCAAGCGACATAGATGACTGATCAACGTTCTTGATTTTGTTGGTTATCAAATCCAGTCCCGGGAGTTGGGTGTAGGCCAGTAGATCCGCGGTTGTAGGGCTAGGTTGTGTACCGTGCCCTTGGGATGAGGTCGGGCCTGCATCAATGGAGGAGGACTTAGCAGTGTGGTTTATTGCTGAGAGACTTGACAATAGATGTGCTTGGGGTTCTAGTTGGTTCTGTCTTCTGCTTCCGCAATAGAAAAAAACAAAAGCAAGGAGAACCCGCAGGCGGTTTATGAAGTCATGACTGCGCTGCATGAGATTGAAATCAAAGAGACCAACCGCTGTCAGCGCTTAGTTAAACAGCTGCAGGAAGAAAACACAAGATTAACTACTGAACGGGATGCTATCGCCGTGAAGTGGGCACTTTCTAAGGGCCGATCTGACAGCCAGTTGGTCTCGTATAAATCTACTAAGATTCCGGATCCCCCGATGCTGAGCAACGGCGAAGACCCGTCCTTTGAGAACTGGCAGTTGGCTATCAACTAGAAGATGACTGCCAATGCTGATTACTACCCTACTGCGAAGCTCCGTATTGCCTACGTAACTAGCCGTTGCAAAGGTGACGCTCATCGACATATATCTCCTCGTCTCGAAACCCAGGACTATCGGGACTTCGGTGAGATCCTGAACCACCTGAAAGGCGTGTTCGTGGATCCGAATAAGGCCCGCAACGCCCGTCGAACGTTCAATACTATCAAGATGGCCAACTTCAAGGACTACCATACTTTCGCGTCTGAATTTCAATACCTTGCAGTGGAAGGCCAGATTGACCGAGAAACCTGGAAGGAAAGCTTCTTCCACGCTTTGCCGGACGAGGTACAGCGTATGGTCGCATACGCCTTTAATGATGACAACCGAACCCTTGGGAACCTCACCCACGAATGCGCCAAGGTGGCTGACCTCTGGGCTGACATAAATAAGCGCCGAAGCAACCGCAATGCAGCTAGAGGAGGTTCTAAGCCATCAACCCCGAATAAAAGTTCCAGTTTACGCGCTGGCACTCCTATCAAATCTGAAGAAAGACCAGTTAAGAAAGGAGGGCAAGTGCCGTATCTGTAAGCAAGGAGGTCATATGGCATTTGAATGTCCTCAAAAAGCTTCCGGTACGCCTAACCGTGAGTTCAAGGCCCTGGAGGAAACTCCTGAGGCGCCCGCTAAAGAGCCAAAAAACGAGGAAGCCCAGGTCAAGACTCCTACTTAGGTTTGATGTATCAATCCCTGTGTGAAATGAATGTTTCCACGGAAGATCTACTTGGGCGCAAAGACTATAGTTTTCTAGTTCCCATTCAATTCAATTAGCTACCAATGGATATTCAGTTTCTACACACGCATTGATCGATACCGAAGCCAACGGACTCAGTTTTCTAAATCATGATCTCGCTATTCTACTCGCTAAACGATTCAACCTACACACGATCCCCCTGCCCAACAGCGTGCCGATTAAGGGCTACAATGGCAGCAAAGGCGGTGATATCACCCATGCAATTATACTGACCCTGATCATCGATCAACGAACGCAGAAGTTACCTTTCTTGATAGTGGATCTCGGCCAGAACGACGTGATCCTCGGCAGGAAGTGGCTGCAGGTTCACCAAGTTCTACCTGACTACAGCCGCAACCAATTGCTCTAGCCCGAAGCGACTACCCTAAGGGAGGAGGTTCAACACCGACCAGGAGAACACTGAACGAGCTCTGTGCCGCATAGAGCGGGCACTAAAGGAAGCTCAGGGTGATCCCGAACCGGCCCTGGAGCGACCCCCTAAGGCTGCCAAGAAGGATCTGCCAGAGGTCGATATCTTCGCGATCAGCGGCTCTGCCTATCAGCTCCCTCTCGGTAGATCGGACTGCTTCATTACCTCGCTGGCGCAGATTGACAAGATCATCGATGAGAAGACCTACCCTAAACGCCAACTGGAGGTCGAGAAACTGAAAGAGCAGATCCCCGAGGCCTACCATAGCTTTGTGGACGTGTTCTTGAAGTCAGCGTTGGATGCGCTGCCCCCGAGGAGGGAAAACGACCACCAAATTGAGCTCACTGATAAGAATACGCTAGGATATAGCCCCCTATATCGGTACTCTACAAAGGAGCTAGAAGCGATCAAGGCCTATATGGTAGAGAACCTGCAGAAAGGCTTTATCGTTCCCAGTGCTGCCCCGTTCGGCTCCCCCGTGTTGATGGCTGCGAAGCCAGGAGGAGGCCTGCGGTTCTGCATGGACTACCGGAAGTTGGACTCGATCACGAAGAAGAATCGCTATCCCCTGCCCCTGATGGACGAGTTGCTGGACCGGCTAGGCCGCGCGAAGATCTTTACCTACCAAGCTCGACATCAGGCAGGGCTTCTACCGCATACGAATGCACCCCGATTCAGTGGATCTCACCACGTTTCGCACCAAGTACGGGTCCTACAAATACCAAGTCTTGCCTTTCGGTTTGACTAACGGGCCCGCAGCGTTCTAACAGCTGATGAATGACATCTTTATTGATCTGATCGACAAGTACGTGGCTGTTTATGTAGACGATATCCTGATCTTCAGTGAGGACGAGCTCGAACAAGAGGCCCACGTTCAGGAGGTACTGAAGCGGCACCGCGCTGCAGGCCTCCAGGCCGCTATTCACAAGTGCGAATTCAATGTAAAAAGAACTAAGTTCTTAGGCTTCATCCCGACCATGGATGGCATTGAGGTTGACCCTGAGAAGATCGCAGTGATCACTAACTGGCAGGTTCCGACTACAGTTAGAGGAGTCCAGTCGTTTCTCGGGTTCTGCAACTTCTATCGACGCTTTATAGAGGCCTACAGTAGGATCGCCAGGCTACTGTATGCCTTAACGAAGAAGCTGTCATCCTTTGAGTGGACTTCCAGCTACCAGGAAGCCTTTGAGCAGCTGAAGAAATACCTGACCTCGGCGCCTCTCCTACGTCACCACGACCCCACCCTCCCGTCCGGGATTGAAACGGAAGCCTCTAACTGCGTGATTGCCGGCATATTCTCCCAGTTATTCGAGGGTAGGTGGCACCCTATTGCCTACTTCTCTAGGGATATGCTCGGTGCTGAGCGTAACTACGATATTCATGATAAGGAGCTCTGGAGAACGGAGCTTGAAGGGCTTCAGATCACTGAACGAATAGAGATCTGGACTGATTATAGGGCCCTTGAATACTTCATGACTACGAAGAAGCTGAACGGGCGCCAGGCCCGGTGGTCAGAGTTCCTTTCAAGGTTCCACTTCCTGATCAAGTTCAGGCTCGGGCTGAAAAACACGGCTGCTGACGCCCTATCGAGACCTGAAGAGAGTCCTCTGGACCTAGATGCAAAAAACCAGGCTCTATTGAGGCCAGAGTGATTAGAAGAGGGCGTTCTGCCTCCGCAGGCTACTGAACAGGAACTATCTGCTATATCAGCACTGCTCGCTCCCGTAGAGCTGGATGACGTCCAGTTGATGGACCGCCTACTGCAGGCTAATCGCAGTGCGGCTGACCTTGACGGAGAAAAGGCTGCTGATGCTGAAGAAAATTCAGAGCGGTCCCTGCAGGATGGGCTTCTTCTGTTCCAGAATAAGCTCGTGGTCCCTGAAGAGGGCGACCTTCGCACCCGATTGCTTGATATGACCCACCGACAGCCCTCTACTGCACACCCAGGACGAACCATGACAGAAACTCTGGTGAAGAACTGATACTGGTGGCCAGGTTGGCGCCACGATGTGAAACGCTACGTGGCCAACTGCCTGATATGCAACCGAACTACCACTAGAAGAGATCTGCCTCCAGGGCTACTTCAGCCCCTCGATATCCCTAACCGCCCCTGGGAGCACATCCTTATGGATTTCCGCTCCTGCCCGAAGGACAAGCACGGCTTTGACGAGACCTGCGTGATCGTAGATCGCCTGACGAAGCGGGTGATCTCGATCCCCTGCCACAAGAACGTATCCGCAGTAGATATGGCCCAGCTCTTCCTCGAATATACATATCGATGGGTAGGACTGCCAGAGTCAATCCTTTCGGACCGCGGAGGCCAGTTTGTATCGGCCTTCTGGGAGGAGCTCTGCCTGCGGCCGAGGATCAAGCGCAGACTGACCTCGGGGCAGAAGCCCTCCACGAACGGCCATACGGAGATCGTCAATCAGTATCTCGCCCAGAAACTCCGTCCCTTTGTGAACTACTATCAGGATAGCTAGTCGGAGCTGCTGCCGGATATGGACTTCGCCTACGCCATCCTCGAACACGAGTCAACCGGGCTTTCCCCTCTTCCAGGTTGAGCGTGGCTACGAGCCCCGGGTCTCCTTTGACTGGGCCTCGCTCTCGCAGCCTCGGGATAGGCCCCAGGATCAAGCCGGGGCTTGCCGGACTGCCTGCCGTTTGGAGCAGATCTGGGACTACGCTAGGGGTCAGATTGAGCTGGCTCAGGTGAAGATGAAGCAGCAGACCAATAAACATCGTAGGCTAATGGATTTCAAGGCCGAGGGCTGGGTCTACGTGACTACTAAGGACTGGGAGTTAGGCCGTCCAAGCCGCAAGTTCGGTGATCAATAGGCTGGTTCATACGAGATTATCGAACAGGTTGGACATGACTTTAAGCTTCGCCTGCCTCCTACGCTCCAATTTCACCCCGTTTTCGCGCCAGAAAAGTTCCTAAAGGTGACCGATTTGATACTTATGCCGGGTCAAATTCGCGATCCAGAGCCCCGATTGAGGTGCAGCGTTAGATGAAAAGCGAATAAGACAATGCTGCACGAAGGCAATTGAAGATGGAATGTGGTTAACCAGACAATTGAGTGAAAAGATTCTACAACTTATACATCTTCTTATGTGCCTTATATATCTGCACTTCTAGCTTTTAGCTTGACCTTCTGGGGGTGTTGAAATGATCGACGGCCGATAGTTCCCGTGTACGCGCTTCGTGCAGAGTTATGGAGTCACATAATTACACGTCGCAGCATTGATAACTAACAATTTATTAAATAAGGCAGATTCTCCGTACCTAGACGAAGGCTGTCAAACCTGCAAACCATTTTTACCGGAATGAACTCCAAATCTGACCATGAGGCTGAGTCAAGTCTTGACTCAAGGATTGGCTCGGATGACGGTTGGAAAGACACGTCAGCGGTAAAACCATATTTAACCCCAACACTCCATCTGCATGGACGACGGATGGGTGATAGGTCAATGGGAAGAGCACCATAGGCGCCGACAGGTGGTGATGCCCGGCCTACCCGTGGCCTCCCAATAAGCGCTAGTGTATCCAACTAGAACGATCACTTGAGGGCGTGCACGATGGTTGCCAACCAAGCCACTTGGCATTTAATTTTTTTTTTTTTTTTTTTTTCAACTTAGCGTATACTTGAAACCTTCACTGCTTGGGAGATCATCTGGGTAAAATGCTTTCTTGGTTCGGAGTTACGGTTTTATGTGAGCTGCGCAAACTGCCAGTTGTACCTTCGAACCAGAGATCTTGGATGCCTATCAGAGGACTCGTTTAGCGCTAAAGTCCGTACAAAATGCTGGAGTTAATAGGTTAGATAATGAGGGAGTGTACAGAATGTCTGAGACAATGAGCCACTGCTATAATTGATTATTATCTGTAGCTACATTCTACAATTACACAATCACACAATCACGCAAAATAATCCCTGTTAGGTATACCAGAAAGAAGATTAACTTGTAGTCGTTCTCCGATTTTTCGGATAGTCGATATTGTCTCCACAGCGTGGGATTTCAAATTGTCATCCGAGGCCGTTCGTAAAATATCAAAAGCAGATAGTATATCCATGATATTCTTCAATTCGCGGCGAGAGACCAGTGATTGCTTGCGGGACTAGGGCTCATAAATGAGTCCCACAAACTGTTCTGCCATATCACTTTGTGGGTCGAGAACATACATAATATCTGTTTCTCCTTCTTTTATAATCGTAATTGTCTAAGAATGTCACGGCTTTGGAATCTACCATGTATTTATGGTATAATAACTTCCTAATAGCGGCTTCTGCAAAATAATAATATCACATCTCGTCGCACACTAAGATATTTGTTGGAACAATATTGTCAACCAGACCAGAGAGGTGGAGGACCCTGACCTAATCCACATACCGCCCAGCACCTTGCTTGGCCTAGACTTGGCCTACCATTCCAAATGACATACCAATGGATCAGGAATGCATAGGTGTAAACAAGTGGAACTATAAATAGCTAGGCAGATTGTAGTTTAGAAATGACACTTCACTTTTACCCACCGAGCATATACCTATATTCTATTGAATCGATAGGTTATCTGCTATAGGTAATGACCAAGTCAACCGACAATATTTAATATAGTAGAACTAAGGGCGACAGCCTTCTCCACTTCATTGTAACGCTCTTTGATAAAAGGCTGGTTCCTCTAATACCGTCTAGTTCAGGCCCACAGGTGGGGTGGTTGCGCACTGAGCTAACTAAAAGACTAGAATACCAAGTCAACAGACTTGGTACGCGCATCACTCTATATAGTGGGTTCTTGGCCAGTTCTTGTTCATCACAGCACCTGGTAGAATGTACCATAACCCATGTGGCCTAACTGAAAAGATTGACATTAATGTGGTCTGCTATTGTGATCAAGTAGTAAGACTGCATAACTAGTACCCGGTAAGCAGATTAAGGCCAGTTTAGTGTCTGATGCTGATGATAGAGAAAAATCTGATCCCAGTAATTAAATTCCTGAATGTTTCCTCCTACTTTCTATCTGATGTTCGGAAAGCTCTATTTTTGTGAGACAAACGATATGCTAAATTCAGATACAAGTCCGTTGTTTGCATAAAAGATTTCCATGGTCACGAGTCCACATCCACGAAACCCCAGCTGTTATGAACTTGAGAATTATCAATAGTGGAAGAAATTCAGGTGTCACAACAAGTTTCAAAGCCCCTAGTTCACCATGATCTAGAGAGTCATTGCAAAGGCCGAAGCTATGTTAAAGTCAAATACATATCAAATGTGTGCTGTTGGAGGTGCATTTTGCACGAGAAGAGCTTATCGCAGACATTACACCTTATATCGGAGTGAGTAGAGATATGGCAAAGATACTTTCGCTTGATATGTTTTGTAATATCTCCATAACTGAAAAATTTCTATGTTCGTTTTCCAATATCCAAATCCTGCTGACCCAGACAAATGAAACAGAACAGAGATCTCTTTATACGTTTCTCGGATGGTTTGTCCGTCATTACCGACTGAATTGCAGATACTAGTCTCTCATCCGTTAGGAAAGAAGGTTGGGTCAATTGCGTCTCTTCCTCGGCACGATCATCTGGTCCGGCGACGACGGGTCCCGTAGAACGCTTATCGCGCGGAAGACGGCAGTATCACCTTCTTCAAAAAAAGAGCATAAGCAGCTACGGCATCAATCATTTCTGTCCGTCTAGCCACTTCCTCCTCGAGCGTCTGGCGAGGTACGATAAGAAGGCTCTCAATCAGTCGCTTCTAGAGCATTAGTACCGTTTCCGAACACTTGAGAGATTTTTTTTTTTCTCGGCCAGGTTGAATCCAGACAGCTGACGTCTGATTTCTAGCATCAGTTGCTCGCGGTCGTACTTTACTTGAATCTGAGTGAGCAATGTGTTCTGTGCTCGCTGCCTGGCACCCGCTAACTCTTGGTTCAGCTTCTTGTACATTGCATATTGCTTTGTTCCGTGGTGGTTCTCGGATGAGGTCTTTGTAGCACTAAATATTCGGCCGTGAGTTGGGGAATCTAACAGAGAAGTTGAAGACTGGGAAGTATGTGAAAAGAGAGAGACATAAAGGAGCCCGAGCGAGTGGTTACTGTTTATAAAGGTACTCCCGAGAGGCTGCCATATTTGGAGTGTTTCGGAGACCGCAGCGAAGGATATGTGAAGTTAGCATTAGTCGGTCTCCAGAAGAGTGGTCCTGAAGGTATACTGCGCTACAGACAAATGAGGTTTGGGTAAGTCTGCACTCGGTACTTGGCGGTGCGTAGACGTAAGTGCAGGGGGAGTGGCGGAAGGCCTGGCAGATTGACGGCCAAAAACGGCGTCGATGGTGGCCGTTTCGGGCAGCTCGTTTGCCGTCTTCTAGTTTAATTAAGAGATTTATTATTCAGATCTTCATTCGCCAAGATTAGGGCATTACAATCTTTACGCAAAATTGTTTTAAGTGTTGACTGCCCCTTTTGACCTGATTATATGTCAATATTTGGTTCCTAGTCTTGTTTACCTTTACCCCACTTAGTTGAGCCTAGGTAGTTCTATATAATCACTCGTTACCCAGAAAATCAGATTGTCGTAGTTACATTTCTAGTTGGATATGAATAGCCTGTTCTAGTTGTTATCTTTCCCAGAATGTAATGAGACTATAGCCAACCGAGGAAGTTCCACATCACAGCCATTTACCGCAGCTGCGGATTCTGCGGGGTAATATTCAATTGGAGTAGGCCTCTATCAGCCTCTGCAGACTTTTGCATGGTATTTCTTGCAGGGTAGGAATGAAGACAATGCATTCTATGGCGCAACACAGAGCAAGCGAAAGAAAGAAAAAACAGACAAGAGAACGAAAACCAATGACATACACGACGAGAAATAACATAAACATAGAAAAAGATACCGCTCAAGCAAATAGCAAATGGAAATAAGGTCTATTAAAGTGTCACATGCATGCGTTCAACCATCATAAACCACACACTTCTCCCATGCCTGCGCGAATGAAGAATGGTTCTTCACGATATGTTCCTTGATCTTGTCTCTCCGGCTGAACGATTTGAGACAACCCCGGGCGCCGCATTTGTATGGTTTGATGGATAGATGAATCGATTTGACATGGCGCAGTACGTCTTCTTTGCGGTTGAATGGCCTCGTGTGGGTGCAGTTCTTCCATTGACATAGAGGCTTTCCTTCCCTGGAGTTCCCGGCGCGGATTAGCTGCGTTCGAAAGGAGGGATCGAAGGTTGGGGGTCTTGTTTTCTTAGCTTACTCTTTTTCAAGGGTCGCTTGGGTCTGTTCTTGGTCTATCTCGATGGCACGAGAAGCGCTGCGTGATGGGTTTGCGCCGGTAGCGTCATCATTAATGCAGACTACTGTCCGAGAAGGATAGGGCTCCAATTTGTGTTCCTGATCAAGGATCCCAGAAACACCCGTTGAGTTTCCGTTTATGGTCTGCGTAGGAAGATGGGAGGCTGGGTCGAGGCTTTGCTGTACCGCCGGCTGAACAGCGGCGTGCATCAAGTCGCTGCTGTACCAGTGGTCTGGGTTGGTTTTGGCTTCATGAGTGTAAGATGACGCCATATGACTAGGGTTCGAAGCAGCTGCGCGCGCATTCAAATCAAGGGGTAGATAGTGAAAGGCGGAATTGGTTGCAAAGCCTATTGGGTTGCAGTCTCTGAAATCCAAAGACTCGGGGTCGGGTAGGCCTGCAGGGTTCCACGAGACATGCGCAGCGCCATCCGTGGACCAGGTGATTTGGGAATCCGACATAGTCCCAAAATGAAGGTTGGCAAATTGGCTATGAGAGAAGATCTAGGAGCGGTTGAATGTCTGGGAAGGAGGACTGAGAGAGACTGGAGGCCATATTTATACCGGGCTGGTGTCTCGACCTGTCTGGACGGGGCCAAAGAAGTCGGTAAAGGAATTAAAGCCAAACCCAGAAGTAGAGAAGGCCAAAGCTGGAAGATCACAGCAATTAATTTCATTTTCAAGAAGCAATTGCCCTGTCAGTACTTTTGCCTTTGGTATACCATGCTTCGACTTTTGCGTACTGTTCTTTCCACCAGACCGACCGCCAGTACTTTTGATGCGTTGTCAACTATCACGACGAGTCTCCAGATGGTTGGATGAAAAATCGAAAGAGCAAGGGTGTTTTTGCGCACGCTAGCCCGGGGAACCAAACCAGGGGATCCATTTCAAACACACTACAGAAAGCCGCATGATGGATACGAAAGTACTGGACAGGGAGCCTGTTCCTGATCTGACAGCAGTTCACTCGTCTGATTCATGCATTCGGGACTCATTCACTCGGTGCTGAGCGCCAAGAACCATGGCGGTTAACATTTGGATAATCATCTAGATTGCACTGTTGCGGCTCGCCGTTAGATCCCGTCTTAGTGCCCACAACCCTAGGGATGAAGGGATCAAGAGGTGTACTTCTCGATGAGGGTGAAGATGAAAATCGTTCGACTGACCAGGCCCAGGGGAAAATCAAAATAAGATAAAATAAAAAAGAAGTTGCCCTGCCGAGTTTCCTGTTTCAAGTCGGGGAAAAGGGCAATTTGCCTGTCGAGGCTTTTCTTTTAATTGTCTCGGTGACGGTACTTTAGTGCATCAAATAGAGGCCTTATCATTCGAAAGGAGGACTTTTGTGGCCCGACCAAAAAAGTACAATGCAGGAAAAAAATAAATAAATTCATTCACCCAGGAAAATAAAGGAGCAGGAGAAGAAGAAGAAGAACAAAGCGCCCGAAATTTGAACTTTGGGTGGGGATCTACAGCTAATCAGCAAACTCTCGAGAGGTTAAGGGCCGAGCATGAACGCATTCTGCATTGAAACTTTCCGAATCCGATACCTACAGAGTAATGAACATGGCCAAAGTTCGAGTGACCACGGGAGACATCAGCACTACCAGCCGGATACCGGGCCGTGTCAGGTGTGACAGGCACCAGGCGCCGGGTTCATGGCAGGACAACTCATCCTGCGCATCAGGCGAGACAACCCGAGGAGACGGCTGTTGATAGGCTGACTGAAATGGGCACGAACCCCCTACTCGGTACGAAATCGGTAGGCTAGGCTGTGGATCAGAGCAGTCAAGAAGCTAAGGAAATGTTCATGTACCTAAATCATCAGCAGAGGCGACTTAGGCCCCACCTGAGATCCCAGATATGCTGCAGGAATCGATCAACTGTGTTCTCCATGTCGTTATGCCCTAGTTCTTGTCCACCATGGGTTGTGTCTCGATAGATAGCGGCGTGGAGGTAACAAGGCGCTACAGCCCGACACATAGCGGAGTATAAAACTAAATAACGTATTCAAGCGACGCGGCAAGATGGCCGAGACCATTCCATTTGAAAAATTGCATATCACGCAAGATCTCTTTCTCCCAGGTCCCCATCTGATAGTCTACCAGGCCATGCTGCTCGAACTGGTCACGGAGCTGGATCCATGGCAACCATTATCGACACGGCCAACACACCAGAGCCATGTTGGAACATCGGGACGTACCCTTCCGCCTGCCCTGGGGTTCGACCTCGCTTAGTCATCACTTAGTAAGCTAGATATCTTAGATAAGTGGCCACCCAATACACAACATATCCATCGCTTCCCACAACCACCCCGAGTTCCTTCTTCTATCCTGGCGTAGCTAAATCAGACTGATCAGTTTTCCCTAATATTCTTGTAAGCGCCTGTACTGCGAATTTCACCATAGTTATCACAGTCAGCAAGTCAATAGAGTTTTGTTAGATTGGGCAGGGATCATCCCATTTGGACGTTTTGGTGCCTGAGGTTGCCATGTTGCCTGGCATTCGCGTTCGCTTGGTAGGCGACATGATGGAAGATCTCTTCTTCCCTAAATTCTATCTGATATCCCCGATTAATTCAATTGATTTATTATGGTTGTTGTTGTTATTGTTGTTATATACATGCAACCGATTGTTGTTGAATCTCGATCATAGTTCGGGCAGCTCCACGCGATATATCTCGGCAAGGACCCGCGGATGTCTATATCGACCATCAAGCAGCGCGACACGGCCGCAAAAATAATAAGCCCAAGAGGAAGGGCTTTCCCCTAGATGATGTACCGCCCATGATACCACAAGAAGCGTAATATACATGGTATGATAAATCTTTCCCCATCGAGTCTACCAGTTAATCAACAGTAAAAAGCAAAATTGGTATTTCCATTGACATTGCAATCATACTGCCAGCCATAAACCAAACACATATACCACAGAAGATCAACGGCTATGAACAGATAAAGAGAGAGAGATGGCTCAGTTCTTTTCAAAAACACGACAAGAACGACAACCAAATATAAAAAAAAGAGAGAATACAATACAATTATCTAGGTACAAAATCTAAAGAGAGTAGGGAATCGGCTAGCCCAGCTTGGCCTTGAGAGATTCAATCTCCGCAGTAAGAGTCTGCATCTGCTGTGCCTGGGTGGCGATGGTCTTGGTCTGCTCGGCAATCAGATCCTTGATGCTGCCAATCTCCCGCTGCACGGCGTCGGCGGCCACGGCGGCGGTGGTGGTCAGGGTGGATCCGGCGGAGCCGGTGGGGGTCGAAACGGTCGGAGTGTTGGCTCCAGAGCGCTCGTTGGTAGGGGTCGAGACCTAGAATGCGGTTAGACGATATGGAACATTGGATGCAAAAGTGCAGCTTACCTTAGGGGGAGTAGGCGTCGACTTGGCCTCCTCCTTCTGGCCCCAAGGGCTGGCCTTCACGGTGGGCGAGGCATTCTCCGGAGAACGCGAAGGGCGCTCGACCGGCTTGGGGACCTCGTCGAAGCTCGAGTCCTCGACGGGCGCGGGCTCGTCATCTTCATCATCGGCAAATTTGTTGACCATGGCAGCCATCGAGGCACCCTGCTCCTTCATGGAAGGCGCGGGCTTGACGACGGGGGTAGGTTCAGGAGTAGGTTCGGGGGCCTTCTTCACGGGCGAAGGCTCGGCGGGCTTGGGTTGCGACTCGGGTTGAGGTTCGGGGGCGCCCATGGTAGCCGTGGGCTTGTCCTGCACGCCGGTGACTTCCTTCAAACCCTCACCCTCGTAGAGGCTGGCCATGGAGATCTTGGGCGGGATGGCTTCCTTGCCGGAAACCCAATCCCCGGGTCCCATAGCAGGCGTGATACCAATCGTCGGGGGGTAGATGTCATCCTGGAAAGACTCGGCACGACGGGGGACAATGAAGGAGATGGGTTCGATGTACGAGTCGTTGACGGTCTTGAAAGCACGAGTGACTTCGTTCTCGTGGGCGTTGACACCGCGCTTGGGCATGAATGCGATACCACGCTGGGGATCGGCGGACTTGTATTCGGCAAGGTACTCAAACTTGTCGTTCTCAAGTTCGAAGTAGCGAATGTTTCCGTCACTAACAGTTAAGGTTAGAGTGTTGTATCGCATAAACCAAGCGCGCGACTTACCCTCTGCCAGCCAGGTACAGACATTGCGTGCCATCATCCCAGAAAGGCATGCAAACACCGGAGATCGAGTCAAGCGTCTTGAACCCGTTGATGGGCTCCCGAGGCGCACGAATATCCCACAGAGCCAGCTGACGGTCACTCATCTTCGAGAAACCGGTGGTCGCGATGCGGTCGCGCTCTCCAAGCCAGACCGAACGGCTGTTCTTGGCACCCGAGTGACCCTGGGTTTCATGCGCAGGGCGCTCCTGACGCACATCCCAAATGCGCAGCTTCTTGTCTCGCGACGTGGTGACCAGCAGCGATCCGTTGGCACTCCAGGACTGCGACTGCACGATGTCGCCGAGGTTCAGGGTGAATTTGGGGGCACCGGCTTCGATATCCCAGACCTTCACGGTGAAGTCACCGGAGGCAGTGGCGAGAATGTTTTCAGCGGCGGGGTTGAAGAGAACGTGTCCGACTTTCCTGCGATCGTGTAACACCACGTTAGGTCGACAGAACCGGGAACGAGAATGCGACTCGGGGAACCTACTTCGGATGTCCGTTCAATTTTCCAACCGGCGCAATGTCCTGAACCTGATCGGGTTCCACATCCGGGCGAAGGGTGAAGTTCTCCGGAACGCGCCAGAGCAGGACCTGGAGCGGGGGTTAGTCGGGTGCATGGAGTAGGCAGCCATTTCGGGTCGGGATTCGTACTCTGCCATCGTCGGAGCCGGAGGCAATCAAGTCATCGTTGAAAGGGTTCCTGTATGATGTTGTGTTGGTTCTTTTGTCCGCCACGGTCGACTCCTTATTCCACCACTCACCAGTCGGTGTCCAGCACAACGGCGGTATGGCCTCGGAACAAGGGAATTCTCTCTGGCAATTTGCCCCGTTCTTCCAGGGGAATCACAGCAAAAGCACCTCCACCACCGGCCTCCCAGTTGACGGACAGATAATGGGGGTTGGCCTAGAGATGGGGAAAGGTCAGAGGTCTGCGGAAGTCTCGTCGCCGTCGGTCTCAGGGGCGGGTGGTCGCGGACGCAAGGGGAGGGCGAACCTTGACGAGATTGGTGTCCCAGGCATTTCTCGAGACACGCAGGTTATCATAGCATTGATCCTAGAACGATGGTGAGCCATTGAGAGGGGAGGACGAGGCTGGGATGCGAACCTTTCTCGTGGGCCGCCCGAAGACGTGTCCTGATACCTGTCAGATTGCGGGCAGCTCTTTTTTTAAGGGGGGAAAGGAACGCCAGGCAGGCTCACGGTATTTGGAGGAACGGACGAAACGACCAGACATAGTGCAGGATTTTTAATGAACAGCAAAATCAACGACGAAGGGCCCAAAAGGAACAAGGACGCAGGGAATAATACAAAGGAGGAGGAGAGAAGACAAAGGGTACGGAGTAAGCTGTCTGTCTGGCAGTGAAAGCAGGCTTAATTTAGTCCCAAGTGGAAACACCCGCAAGCGGACTAATGATGGAGAGGCCGAGTCGATGGGCTGCAGGCAATCAGGGAGGACCCGCTCAGGGGAGACCGGAGATAGACAGATAAACACCCAGCAAGAGAATGCAAGAAGGCAGTTGCTTTCTTTTCCTTCCTTTTGTCGGCCACCCAAACCAGACAAACCAGACAAACTCCAACCAAGTCCCGTGCCAGTCCCGTGACCCTGGAGGGACCAGGTATGGAAATCTATACGGAGTGATACCAGCAGGTGACCTATCCGGACTAGATCCGCCCCGCCCACTCTGGCTGAGTCATCCTTGTTTGTTTGGTTTGTTTACTGCCCGCCGTCACTCCAGAAACGAGCAACGCTTTTGATTGTTGCTCTCCGGACTTCTCCTGCACGACATCCATCCCACACCGTCGACACAACACTCGACTCGCCGACTTGTCTACCTTGTCTCCTGGCGGACCGGGCGGGCGCCCCCTCACTTGTTACAGTTCTCTTTCAATTCCATTGTCAGCCTTTGCTTCTTCCTGCCACACCCGTCGCCCTACCATCCCCTCTGTTTACCTTCCCTCACAGCGGCTTCATGAGCTGCAGTCACCACCTCCGACTTCCTTGCTTCATCGGTTGTAAATAGCTAGCCGACTTTCTACCCATTGCTGCCATGGAGAACAATTATTCGGTATGTTCGCTGCAATTGCGCATCTTCTTGACCGTTGCTGACCTACTGAACAGACGTTGTCAAGAACCGCCGGCCGAACACGCATTCCCGCCGGTCTCAAGGAAATGAGTGTTGCCGGAACGAACTCGCGCTCAGGACTGCTGCTTCCTGGCTCGATTGCCAACAAGACCTCGGCCGTTCCGCGTATGTTGAGGAGAAGAATACGGCAGCAGGCGCCCGATAGGCTAACACATTCAGAACCCACTCGCGCGAGGAGTACCACGCAAGGCGCCGAATCGAGTCGATCCGGAGTTGCACCCTCGACGACAACACGTTCCGCATCCGTCATGGGCAAACCGCACGCCCGGGCGAATTCCTACGCCTCCAACACATTAGGTCGCTCCGCTTCCACCACCTCCCGAACGACGAAGAGTGCCTATTCCTCCACGGTCGGACCCAATGCGCGATCAAACCCCGGCGCATCTCGCCCGCACACGTCGATGGCCACGACCCGAAGGCAGAATGGCAATGCGCTGCCCCGGCCGGCGACGTCACTGGATACCCATGAGGAAGATTCAAGGATCCTAGGGAAACGAAAGGGTAGGCCAGATTCCCGCTTCCTATTTCCCCCCTGCCCAGCCCTCCCACGGCCTTCGTCGCCTAGCAGTCCACATGGAAATGAATCGCCGACTAGGCCCACGGTGTGTTCTCCCCTCTCGACACTAAGAGAGACGTCGATTGGACCTGGTAACTGTGACGTTTCGCTGTCTTCTGCATTGGATCAATTGACTCTGGACTCCCCTTCACCCGCGATGGGCCCTACATGTCTTCCGAGAGATGGACCCTATGCGCATGTCTTTTCCTGCTCATCTACCCCTATCCACCCCCTGCCTAGCAACTCATTCTTCCTACCCCAAAGTTCCTGCAAGCGAAAGAGACCCCCGATTCCACAATTCCTTACCAAAAATTCCACAATCAAATCGTTTAACTATCATACAGGAGCCGATTGGGACCGTGAATCACGCGAGAAATTGATGGATGAACACTTCACTATGTTCATGTCGCGGATGAACCAGACGAGCCAGGAAAGCTTTGCCTACAAGGAAACCGTCGAGCTGTACAAATCGAGAGGTAAGTATGTGTTGAAGCGCTTTGGGGATAAGTAGAACTGACAAATTTCGGTCTACAGTAAACGAGTTAGAAGAATCTCGAAAAGAGCTTACCGAAGCGAAAGTCTCGCTGCGCGTCGAGATCGAATCATTGAAGAGTCAACTAGCAACGGCCGATGGAGCCCTTCGGGACGCCCAAAGAGACTACGAGATCACGGTGGATGAGATGGACAACCGGAGACGTGCTGAAGTAGAGGCCGCCAAGCAGGACAATAAGAAGGAAATGGACGCCTTGGTCACGCAACATCTGAATGAGATGCAGGAATTGCAGCGACGGTTCGAGCGCGAGCTAGACGAAGAGAGATCCGCGCGCATGCGGGATATCAGCCAGCTGAATTCTCAGACAGCAATGGACACAAAACGGGCCCAGATTGAACTGGAGCGCAAAGAACGCGAATCAGCAGCACTGCACACCGACATTCAGAACCTGCGACATGAACTGGACCGGGAACGAAAGAGCACCCAGGATCTCCGCCATAATCTCGACACTGCCAGCACTAATGGGGTGACTATGGAGTCGTCCATCCGCGCGCTCAAGGCACGAATTGAGTTCCTAGAAGGGGGTAGGGAGGAGCAGTCCGAAGCCTTTGAACGACTGAACCAGCAAATGATGGATGCGCTGGATGAAACCAATGCGACCAAAGAGAAGCTCCGAAAGGAGGAGACCCTGCGCCGGAAGCTGCACAACCAGGTTCAAGAGCTCAAGGGTAACATTCGGGTCTTCTGTCGTGTCCGTCCGTCGTTGAACGACGAACGCGTTACGGACGTCGCTCAAATCCAGTACCCCGACGACACGGGCGACAGCAAGGAGATCTGCGTCATGGGCCCGGAAGAGAAAAGCAGCCTCGGAACGGTATCACGGAAGAACAACAACTTCGCCTTCGATCGGGTATTCGGACCCGCCGCTCAGAACGCGGAAGTTTTTGACGAGATCAGTCAGCTTGTGCAGAGCGCACTCGACGGATACAACGTTTGCATTTTCTGTTATGGTCAGACCGGTAGTGGTAAGACCCATACCATGTCCTCGCTGGACGGTATGATCCCTCGGGCTGTCCACCAGATCTACGAAACCGCCACGGGTCTGGAAGAGAAGGGATGGCGATACACGATGGAGGGCAATTTCGTCGAAGTCTACAACGAGAACCTGAATGATTTGCTGGGCAAGGCGGAAGAGCTCGACAAGAAGAAGCACGAAATCCGACATGATATGCAGCGGGGCAAGACGATGATCACCGATATTACGACCGTCCGACTTGACTCACCGGAAATGGTCGAGACCATCCTGAAGCGGGCTGCGTCTAACCGATCTGTCGCAGCCACCAAGGCCAACGAGAGATCGTCTCGATCGCACTCGGTCTTCATTCTCAAGCTCATCGGCGAGAACTACATCACCGGTGAGCGCAGCGAAGGCACGCTCAACCTGGTGGATCTGGCGGGTAGCGAACGACTCAGTCAGAGTGGAGCTACTGGCGAGAGACTGCGGGAGACGCAGAACATCAACCGCAGTTTGAGCTGCCTGGGAGATGTTATTGCGGCTCTGGGACAGGGCAAGGAGGGCGGACATATTCCGTATCGCAACAGCAAGGTTTGTTCCTTCCAGTACACATCCGTACACATCAGCAGTGGCTAACTATTCGCAGCTTACATACCTTCTGCAATTCTCCCTCGGGGGCAACTCCAAAACACTGATGTTCGTGATGGTCAGCCCTCTGCAGGCGCATCTCTCCGAGTCTTTGACTAGCTTGAAGTTCGCCACGAAGGTGCACAACACCCACATCGGGACAGCCAAGCGACAGGCGCGCGTTCGTGATTCTTAATGATACCTTCTGGATTTTGCGTTGCGATAGGCCTTCATGATTCAGGCCTTGGATTAGCCGGTGTTTGGGTTTACCTCTTGAGATACTTCCTACTTTTGTTTTGTTTTGTTTTGTTGTTTCTGTTTAGGTTAATTTAATCGTCGTCTGGCTTTGGCTTGTATGTAGACATCTGTCCAGTCAATCAACTCTATATACCATCCACTTTGCCCAGTCAATATTAAGTCTTCTCAACAAACCTCCTGATTTCATGCAATGTTTTCTCCCTCGCCTCGATCCACGGGAAATGCCCACATTCTTCGCAAACCACCAACCTGCTCCCAGCAATCCCATCGCGCATCTTCTCCGCGCTCTCAACCCTACATGCCAAATCCTCCGCCCCAGAAATGATCAACGTCTGAGCTTTCACATCCCCTAATCGACTCACCATCTCCCCGGACTCTTCATAGACTTGATCACTCCCGTATACCCACTCGTAACACCATACCGGCATCACGTGGTCGCCGATTGCGGAGAGTAGCGAGTGAAGGTGTTGAGTTGGGTTCGAGAAGTATAGCGGCCATATGGCGTTCACGGAGGCTGTGAATGTCTCATCGGAGGATCTGTTGAGTTTGAGTGTGCTTGTGCTGGAGTAGCGGGGGTCGTGGCGTGGGTTTTCTAGGACGTTGGTGTTGATATCTTTTTTGCTGTGTTGTTGTTTGTCTCCATCTTCATGTCTTTCTTCATTCCTATTCTCGTTGTCGTTCTCTTTCCCCGGTCGATTCACACTCCCGCTCCCCCTATCATTACCATCATTTACTACACCTTCATCTTCGTCTTGAGATCCCCTCCTCTGATCCTCAACACTCCTCTCCTCCTCCTCCGCTAGGGTGATATTTTTAAACCCAACTAACTGTCCTCCCACTAATACCAATTTCTCCACTCTGTCGGGATACATCTCTGCATATGATAATGCGATCGCACCGCCGTTCGAATGGCCCAGTAATGTTGGTATCTTTTCTAGGTTTAGATGGATTCGGAGGTCTTCGAGATCGCTTGCTAGTTCGAATGAGGACATGGCTGTTTGTGAGAGGGGGCGTGTGCTGGCGCCTGTGCCTCGAGGGTGGTGCATGAGGAGGATGTAGGGTTTTGGTTTTGGGGAGGATGAAGATGGGGATGAAGATGGACAGCGGGTGAGGAGTGGACGGAGGCCGTGTTGGAGATATGAGGAGCCGAGACCCCATGCTGGGGGGTGGATTATTATTAGATTGTGATTGACGTGGGAGGGATGTTCGGGTGTGTTGCTGTGGATGATGTATTCGAATGTGAGGTTTTTGGAAGCGGAGAGGAAGGTGTGAGGGCCTGGGGTCAGTGGATGAGGGGGAGGGGGAGATAGCATTTTGAGTATGTTAGTTTTTAGTTTGTTTTGTGATTTATTGGGCGTTGAAGGAAATTGTATGTGTACGAGACTTCGCGGTTGGTTGGTATTAAGTATTGTGTTATGTTTGATGGTTGGGTTTGACGGAAGGTGGATGTAATTAACTATATTTTGGAAGATGATGTCATCGCCATTTATGTAAATAACTAGTTGGTCGGCATCGGGTGAATGCACAGCGTAGGCTTGCAGTGTCTTACACCACCACCTTGTTTTAACTCTAATTTATCCTAATTTTAAAATATTATTTTATTAGCAATTATCTTTCAATTTTTATATTTCTGGAACAAAGTATATATTGAACTGTCTGCAAACTGATTGATAATTCTATTCCGACATACATTGAAAATCATATGCTGCTGCAAACGCGTAGAACCCGGATATATTGATACAATCCTTCTATCCTATTTAAACATCTTTTGTTTCACACCTTTTGACACCGCCATCCTATCTCCTATCTACGCCGTCTTTGCGACCTCGTTCTTCACCCACGCCTCTAAACCTCCCGCAGCGATGATCTCCTGCACGTTGGCTGGCAACTCACCGACCTGCTCCGTCCAGCTCTCGCCGTTCTCGCCCTCCTTCACCTCGACAACGCTGCGCTTGACGTCCCACGTCAACGTCCAGCCCGTGCGACGGGTGAGCTGACGCTTAGAGGCGTCCTCCGGCTGAGCGAACTGCGCGCGCAGACGCTCCACCAGACGCGGCACCTCCAGTCCCATCAGCGCGTTGTTGATACTGTTTCGCGCGAAGATGTTGCCGAAACTGCCCGACACGACCAGCGGGATCTGCTTGGCCAGAATGGCCGTCGCGGCTTGCTCTCGTGACGATCCGCAGCCGAAGTTGAACCCGGCCACAAGAATGTCGCTGGGCTTGGTCGTGTCTTTGAAGGTGGGGTCGTAGTTCATCATGCACGCCTGCGCCATGTCCTCTTTCGACACGTTGTCCTGGTACGTCAGCTTACCCGGGTAGATGCTGTCGGTGTCAAGGTTGTCGGCATCGCAGAAGACAATCTCGCCGCTGACCTTCTCCGGGAAACCCGGGAGGATCTCGGTGGCGGACTTCTTGGTGTCTCCGCCCGCCGACTCGACGCGCTCGATCAGGGAATCCATCTGTTCGATGAAGTTGCTGAGCTCGTTCTCCGTCGTGGCAGGCATGCCGGTGCCGAACCCGTGGTCCACGCCGGTCCAGTCCTCCGGCACCTTGTAGGCGCCGGGGCCGTCGATGATGCCGCTGAGAGCGCTGGCCGCCACGACCTCGGGACTGGCCAGGTAGGCGAGCGCGTCGCGCGAGCCCATGCGTCCCTTGAAGTTACGGTTACTGGCACTGATGCCGACCTCGCCGGGTTCCAGCAATCCGGTGCCGAGACCGATGCAGGGTCCGCATCCGGCGGGGAGCGGCTGCGCACCGGCGTCCAGCAGAGCTTGCCAGTCGCCGGCGTGTTCGGCAGCCTCCTGCTCGGGGGCGGAAGCGGCCGCGATGTAGAATTTGACGCCGTCGGCGATCTTGGGGGCCGCACCGGGGTTCAACTTGGCGGCGTCCTTGAAGACCTTAGCGGCTGCCGCGATATCGGAGGCACGCGAGTTGGTGCAAGACACGACATAGGCACGGTTGATCTTGATGTTCTGCTGGACTAGCTCGTTTAGCGGGGTGGCGACCTTGACGGAGTTGGGCCCGGAAACGTGAGGCGAGAGCGTGGACAGGTTGAGGTAGAGCTGCTTGGCGTACTGAGCATCGGGATCCGCCGTGAGGGGGTTGGCGAACAGCTCCTCCACCTTCTCGTGCGTGATGCGGTCGCGAGTGTTGCGGTCCTCGAGGATCGCGGCCTCCGTGGCCTTGTATCGCAGCCAGCGCTTGAGGGTCTCGTCGATAGGGAACAGACCGGTGAGCGCACCCCACTCCGTCGTCATGTTGGCGATGGTCAGTCGGCTATCCACCGGGAGACTGGCCATGGTCTCCGGGGAACCGGTGAACTCAATGGCATGGTTGAGAACGTCGCTGTTGAACAGCCCGCACAGCGCGACAATCACGTCTTTACCCGTCACACCCTCCGGCAGCTTTCCGGTGAATGTGACCTTGGCAACCGGGGGAATCTGCCACCACGTGCGCGACGTAGCCCAGATACTGGCCGCGTCCGTGCGCACAACGGCAGTTCCTAGACACCCAATGCCACCGTAGTGGTTGCTGTGGCTGTCCGAGGCCACCGCCATGCTACCCGGCCAGGCGTACAGCTCTTCCACCATAACCTGGTGTCCAATACCCCGTCCGGCAGGATAAAAGTCAATACCGTGCTGCTTGGCGAAGTTCTCGATCTGCTGGTATTTCTGGAGGTTCGAGGGGCTGGTGTTCTGGACGTCGTGGTCCAGGGTCATGACGATCTGCTTGGGGTTGTGAACCTGCGTGGCGCCCATGGACATGAACTTGAGAGCGACGGGCCACGAGTTGTCGTGCGTCATGCAGTACTGGGGGGCCAGACTGATGTAGTCACCGCTGCGGACGTATTTGCCTTCGGGAAGACCGACGGCATAGCGCTGCACGATCTTTTCCGTCAATGTCTGCGGCGGCCGATCTTCAGAGGGAGGAATTGGCGCAGCATTCTCGTGCTGGGCCCGCGGGAAGGCAGTCGTGCTCAGCGAGCGAGAGGGAAAGGAGGTCGAGGAGACGGATCGGAGGAGATGATGGACTCTCCTGCTGGGGAGAGTAACCGAGGGAGTCAACCGAGGCGTAACCTAGGGTCCATTAGACTTGGGGGCAATTGGCAGGGCAGGAGATACTCACCGGTCTGCGCACAAGAGCGCAGGGGGGCCGAGCCAGGCCCCTCAATGGTATCGAGCGAGGAAGCATCGTTGCGTTACTGAACAGCAAACTTTTGCCAGTCCATCGCGCCGCCGAAGAGTCACCCCCCCCACGGCACGTGATCCGGGGCTCCTATGTCGGATGTGTGGAGCCCCGGAAGATCCATAGTCCGTGATAGAGCCCTCCGATTGGTAATTTTGCCGCTTCAATTGGCCGATTCGGCGCCTCGAACTGCCGCAGTTCGCTGCTTCCTGATTGGTGAGACATCCAGGTGGGTCTACGCGGCTTGGCATTGGAACCTCAGGCACCAACACCACATACTGACTGACCGAGATAAAATAGGTTCTTTTGTATTATCTTCTAAACACCTCGGGCAGCTTTGAGCCCTACCAGCAATGGCATGTATGCCAAACCTTCTCATTGCCATACTGGGCACCATGGCGATCTCAAACCCGATACAAGCCCGGGTTTTGGCCAAATTTTCTTTGATGACCCAAGCGGTAATCCAATGCTGGTGTCCACTTAATCCTGCTTCAACCCAACCTTACCAGCCTTGCGCATGCCAAAGAACCCAACCACCGTGCAGCACAGCATCAACGCGAACATAGCCCAGAAGCTCGCCCGATATCCCTCCATCAAAGCGGGGACTTTGTCCTTGTCCGACTGATCGGTGATGACGGTCGAGATGACCTGGAGAACAGCCATTCCCAGCGCACTGCCGAACTGCGAGGACGTGTTGAACACCGCCCCTGCGAGAGCTTGAGTGTCGTCGGGGAACACGTCTGTGATGACGATTAATCCCACGGTGTAAAGAGCGTCAAAGCTAACGGGCTGCAAAAGCTGGGCGACGAATGCGTTTCCCCAATACGGCCAAGAGGGTTGGATCACGGCCATGAGTAAGGGTGACCCGGCGCAGACGAGAGACGAGGTGGTTGCGATCAAGTAAGCGGGAACCCTGTGGACGAACAGCCCGATTATGATGTTCATAATAACGCCAACGACCAGACTTGGCAGAATACGGATGGAGGCCTGGAGCGCAGGGAGGTCTTGGACTTCTTGGAAGCTGAGAAGAGGTTAGAGGGGAGATGGAGAATATGGAGATGATACGTACAATAAGGCTGCAAACAGTTCCATGGAGTTGATCACCGCACTAGACATGGCAACGATGGCACAGATCGTTGTGAAGGAGGTGTTCGCCCACATCGAGTTCGGGATCAAGGCCGGCTTGTTTCGCTTAGTTTGGCGATGGACCCAACCGACGAATGACGGTAGTGCGGCCACAGCAATACACAGAATGACAATGCTCTCGGCACTCTTGATGCGAGAGGGATTAGCACTCAAAATCCTGTTTCTGGTCAGCGTTGCTCGTTGTCGTGTATGGGTTCGTACTCACGCCAGGAGATAACACAGCAATGCCATAAATGCGGAGGCCAACCCGGCTCCTACCCAGTCCACCTTGGCTCTAATATTATGCAGACGGTCCGCATATTGGTGGGATCGACTCTTGGGCACTGCCCACAGACCAATAACGGCGAAGACAAGGGTGATACCGCCGGCAATGTACCATCCCGAACGCCAGCCGATGGTATCGATTAGGATACCACCGATGACCAAGCCAATTGAAAAGCCCAGGGGCTGACTGAGACCGACACACGAGAACGCAAAGTTCCGGCCTCGGCCTTGAGGTAGAATCTGCGTGATGATGGACACGGACGAGGCCAGATGGAAGGCGAGCCCGACTCCCTGGAGTGCTCTCAAGGCGACCAACTGCTCTCCCGTGCGAGAACACCCTTGACCGATCATCAAACCGCCGCTAATAAAAGCTCCGACCAGCTCGACCCATCGTGGTCCGATCGCATCGGCAATGGATCCCGCTAACAAGAGCGACGAGGCAGTAGCGAGACTGCTGACCGATGAGGGCCAGAATGACAACGAGGGCGGCAATTGGAGATCCTTGGTAATTGTCGGCAGACCGACGACTACCAGGCCGTTGATCACGCTGGCCGTAAGGGTGATGGCAAAGACCTGGGTGACTACGAGGATCCGTCGAAGGTGGAATTTCCGAGACGGCGGCGGTCCGGCATCATTTAAGGGCTGCACCTGGTCAGTATCCTCCAGCGTAAAGGTGTTGATCTGCCTGGTTGTGGCTGTCGTTGCGACAGTGGTGGTCGACATTTTGGCACTCCCGCGCAAGGTTTTCACGATAGTCGAGAAATCGAACTTCTCGACATCTTTTTTTTCTTTGTCGGGGAGAGCAAATTATTAGCTCACGCCTTGCGGTTGACCGAGCCAGAGCACTCCAGGTGGGGGGAGACCCACCCCGGGGAGACTTGGTCCGAGTTTCTATAGAGTAATCCGAGCAAAAATGGCGGAATCACAGTGGAATCGCCGAGAACTGCCCGGTTGAGCCTAATTGATCTATACGAGGTCTTTCAGAAACGGCAATTTTCGTAGTTGTAGGCCATTGTCAACTACAAATTGTCAGCTATGATCCTGGGCCTAGTAGGCAAATATATCCAATGATGTTAAAACAGTAATCGCAACATTCCCACTTTTCCATTTGACGAATTCCTAAGATCCTAGCTACATACTGCTAATCTATTAGATCAAGATTATAACTTTATCCGGCATATTAGTGGTGGCAATGGAAGTTAAATTTTTACGTAGATTACCTCGTCTGTCAGGGATAGCCTGGACAATCAAAAAGAGCCTCAACCATAGATTTACTACAAACGCAGTAGGATCCTCCATTGAAAGCATATACATGAGCACAAGAGAATATCCCGGACCCTATAGCTTGTATCTTGTGTTTGAGTATCTTGCAAATCGCCTTCTCCCAGCTTGAGTAAGCTTCTGGCTGTCAGTCCCGTCAGTTATATCTTGAATCATAACAAACGGACTAAAGATAAGTCTGGGCCAAGGTTCGTGGCAGAGCTCGTAGGCTAAATTATTTTCAATTACACATGGCCTCGATGCTCTTATGTAGTGATAACACTCTCGTAGTCTGGTTTAGCGAAAGGTCCAGACGATTCTTTTGCTCGAGTTCTGTTTCTTTGTCCTCGTCCCCGTAAGATAGATTCCGAAGTATCTGCAGCATCTCAATGAAATCTAGAAGACATTTCAATTTTGGGAGATCCAATTATCCCGGCTGCCGGCTGGCAAAGCTTCTTGTGCATTCCATTGGTGTCGAAATCGTGGGACCAACACTTGTTTTGGTAGGCGTAAGAAAGGGCTTGCGGCGCGGGGAGAAGGCGTAGATCTCGTTCTTTTTAAGATACGATCGCGTAGTATTCGGGTGAAGGCGATGACCTGATTTTGAAGGCGTTGGTCTCGTCTCTTGCGAATATCTTCGCGATCCAAAGGTCGCACATTTTCGTATAACCCGAGGAGAAGCTCTCATCGCGAGGATCGTGTGTTCATCAGAATATGGTCGGAATCCAAGAGCTCATAACTGAGTTGTTTAGGTCTGGTGGCGGAAAGGTAATACCTATTGACCTGATAGGATGAAATAGCTTCTTTTCAGCATTCAAGTTTGACCTCATGCCTCCTAAGAACCTCAACCTGGTACGTCTTGCCTAGTCGAGAGACTTTCCGACAAGAAACAGAGATACCATCCGTGTTTTTGCGTTTCTGTGAGGTTTAGAAAGGTCCTGAGTCCGACACCCAGGTAGAAATCCCGGGCAAGTATGTAATTGTCCGCCGCAATGTTGGAGACGCCATTTTGGTATACCTGCGCTGAGCCCGCAGACCTTCGGTATAGATGGTTCGCCAAGATGAAAATTGCCCAAGGCATGCCAGTGTGACCAGTAATAATGGAGCGACTATAATCTGTATCATAATTAGTTTCTGAACCTCATGAGGCGGTAAGAATATGCCATGCGTACAATTTCTAGAGTCAAGGCATAAGAATAAAAGTCTTGTATGTGTCACCAAACCATCCAGCCCTCGAAAATCTCGCAAAACAAAGCCTAGACACGGGAGGTGCGCCAACATGCCATCTCGTGGTGCAAATGTTGACAACGCCGATATAAAATGTCTTTGTGGCGACGACATGAAAGGGTCTCGAGCCTACTGATTGTTCATCCTAAATACAGAAAAAGAAAACAACTGCCGGTATTCCGCCCACCCGCCCACCGAGAACGCAGCAACAACCCCTTTGGGGGAGAAGAACCAACTGCGATCTTTTAGTATTCATCATGCAGACCAACGGAGGCGCAGACTTACGACAACGGAGACCAAACGGAAACGGGCTCGGCCGCAGGGGGGGTGCCGGGAGTCACTGTCGCCGACGATGCTGGCGACGGCGAACGCTGCGGCGGCTCGGAAACAGACCCAGCAAATATTAAATGGTGGTCTACTGCAAGTAGTTGATCGTGAGATAGTTGTTCCTTTTCATTCTTTTTTGTAGCTTCAACCCGGTTCCCACCAGTAATCGGGCTTCGGTTTCGACCACGTTGTACGCATGTCTTCACAAGATCGTACACACGATTGCATGCTTTTTAGCCATTCCTGGGTTCCGAACGTCACACAGACTGAATCCTCAGCGGAAAGCTCCTTATATCTGATGGGGGCAGCGTAACCTTTCCTGGGACCACAGGTCACAAGACGTAATCGATTTTTCTCTTGCCCATGTCTGCAATAGCGTCAGGGAAGGCAGTGTCGGGGAGAGCGTCAGGGCGCGAAGTCGAATCAGGCACGTCGGGCTCGCACACTGCTTCGGAAGCAGCCTGATCAGGATGCTCTTCGATCGAGTGAGGTTCTTTCCCGGTCGTATGGTGTTCTTCGCTCGTGGAGACGGAGCAAGCCACCCCTGAATGGAGTCGTTGAAGTCCTTCATCCTTCCGGAAGCCATGCGATTGCCCAATATTCATCTTTACTTGCAGAGAAAAAGTTCAATCTAGAGTGCTCCTGGGATTCGATCGTTCGTCGTTTCGAGCAGATAACTTGTATTGTGAAAAATATAATACCCCGTTTAACCCATGAAGTAGGATTGATAGGACAGCTGGTGTGATGAGAAGGAGAAAAAGGATAGGAATCATTGGGGGAGAGAGTCTAGGGTATGGAGTTACGGTCAAGAAATGGGTCCTGGCTGATGAGGGAATGGAAGTCTATCTACAATTCACCAGTTCAATATCTGTAGGTGAAGCCATAAGATTCGCAGTGGTTGTAGCCAGGATTCACAGTGGTTCTAATCTAATAAGGATGGGGTGGTATTCACCCTGCGTCTAGGATTAGGGCTTTCTGCGACTTGGAGAACGGCCAAAGAAAAGTTGTTTGTATCACTATCAACTAAGCCAACTATGTGTAAATGCGAGCCTTCCGGTTGATTAGCCGTTTGGACAATTTTCACGAATACCTCCGGCCACATAATTCAACATCCATGAATTTTTCTGCCTTGCGTCGGCGAATAAAAAGGTGGAAACTGTAATCGAATGGAATAGGCTGGCAACAACCCTGGAAGCCTAACATGATGCCCCTGACTCCGCATATGTCGTGATACATCCGCTTGCGTGTCGAATCAGCGAAGCACCGATACATGATATATTGTTGGAGCCAGAGTCTTACAATTGAGGGCATGTCAACGTTTCACCCTTCCGAGAAAACCAATTCATTGAATAACTGTTCCGCGTAGAAGAGATCAGAATATTCCAATAATAAGTCACATGGATCGAATCATCGCGTTTATTCTCCCCACATCACTCAGCACCCATAAAACTAGATGACCTGCTCCCAGAACCCGTATCCTTTAGATACATCCCCGTTCTCAAAACCACCAGATGCATGACCAACCCACCGTCGGGCAGGTGGTGCTCGGTGCAGAAGAAACAAGACATCGTTGGTAATATTGACCGTAAAGCGACCATCACCTGGCACGTCCATGGAGATAGTAAATCCGGCTGGCAGACTAGCTTCGCCCGGTGGAAGATACACGCCATTCTTGTCGAAAGGGTGTATTTTGAGAGTGTCGTTGGCGCAGTTCGCGGTTAGGATCTCTCCATCCCGCGCCAAGTAGCTGCTATAGTACGTACCTCCGAACTTGGAGATCAACTCGTACCAGACCAAGCTGTAGCCGCCAACTCGGACATGGCCCCAGTACCATGGACCCAGGATCGCGGCAAGTGGCAGATCCACCCAGTTCTAAAATATCAGTCTTGATTGTGATTGGAGATAGTGGGCGGAACCTACCTTATCCTGATATCCAATCCCGGAGTAGCTTATGTGCTCACCGGCAACCTCGAATTCCACTTTTGCTTTGAGATCAGGTCCCTGATTGATCCACCAGAGGTGAGGTACAAGCTCATATGTGCCACCCCTCTCGTTGGCTCCACAGGGCAGATGCGGTGGCACAACCTGATTGTCAGTTATTAGCAAAGAGGATCAAATACGAAGGGTAGGGAGATTACCTGCTCCCACTCAATGTGGCCTTTCAGATCGACATCAGGCATGTCGATGGTAATGGAGCCTCGGTTAAATATGACATCGCTTTTCCACGATATGTGATTCTTGTCGTCATCAAAGTGTCCTACGCTGATGTCCCGACTCTCGCTGACGACCGCTTTGCGGGGATTGATTTCCCTCGTGAAGTGCGTCTTGTTCGGTAGCATGATGTCGACGATGAATGTCAAGAAAGCGTCTGTTGGATTAGATGGCACGGATAGATTCGTGGGTGTCACGTTGAAAGCCATATCAACGGCGGTGGTCAAATCCTCCGAGGTGAAGTCAAAGTACCAAATCTCCCAGTTTCCGGGGGTGTTAATAGGGCGTCCATCTGTATATGAGAAAACGCGAGTAGTTATGTTACTTGCTGGATTGAAGGGTCCATTTTCATTAGAACGAGGGGTAAGATGAAATGCTGGTCCCAGTATGGGCAACAGCATCACCATCCAAAAAGCGCTGAGGGTGTTCAAGAGGTGCATTTCAAAGATGTAAGAACTCTGGAAGTGTTCGATGCATGAGTACTCTATCCTGTGTTTCTGGGAAATCTTTCAGATCTTAAATGTCTCCATCATACCCTGCATTGGCTGTGTAACAGTGACAGCTCACGCTTGACACGGCAGCTCATGTAACCTTACGTCTTCAGCTTGAAGCTGAATGGTTCAGTCATGAAGATCATGTAGTCCAAGAGAACAAAGAAAATCAGCCTTCCTCGCGTAAATCTTGGAACCTGACCACTCAATATATGCTGTGGTATGTAGGCAGCATCTTCCCGTCGATTACGATAATTGACCAATCTCGCAGTCACGATTGTAGGCTTACGTGAAGCCAATGATGATGCATGATCTATGCTCTGTACCCGTATCTCGTACCATAAGAGACAGAAGTCTTCACCTTCCCCTTGCCTGGAACATCTGCAGAGGTTATCAAATCCTTCCCAAGCTAGGAAGATTACCTGACTCATTTTTCCTCGCCCTCTCGTGCGTGTAAGGAATGCGGATCTTAGTTATATCTTGCTTGTAGAAGATCGGAATTTCATCAAGGTATGTATGCGAAAAACGTGGCTGATCTGTAGAGGCGATACAGGTGTGTCCATCTTAAATAAACAGAGCTAGCGCCAGTACAAGACACTCAGACTGATTGTTGACTTCTTATGAGCATTTGATCCTAATATTCTGTCGGAGATACATTGCCACATGACTTAACGCCCGATGACGCCTATGTCTGTCATCACATGACATTGAACACCACAAAATTCCACCCTCCTCCTCTGAACCTTACCGACTTAGAGACCATGTCATCTTTTGCCCACTACTGCCATAAAGTCGGCATCCATGGATCGACCGTGTGTGATATGCGACGTCGTCATTTCCGACACTCCCATCCCATGGGGAGCAGTACTCCCAAGCAAAAGACTAGATTGGCGCCAAAAGCTTCGAGTTGGTTTGTCTCCACCAAGCAACCTTAAATTGGCAGGCATATAATGTTAAATAGTGTCGCGTTATAATTGCCAAACTACGGGAAACGTTAGCGGCATTGGTTATCATCACTGGGACATTGGAATTGTCGCCCCCTTAGGTGTTGACAGCTCCTACGACGACCCTGACATCGACATGGAGAGCCTCTGGCGCTATCAAGCAGGAGCAAAAGTGTGGTTCTTTGCTCACGCCAGATGCTGGGATATCCTCGCGCAGAGATTGTCCGCAGGACTCTCAGATATTCGCACTACCAGCCTCGCGAATTTGATGTTTTACGACCAGCCGCATACGCTTCATTTGGGCACCAGGCTTGAAACGGGGATCAGGTTTGAAACGGGGATTATCGGCCTGTTGTATAGGTTCTACGAACTGGAGGATGTTGCTGACGTAAAGTATGACATTTCTGTGGCGGAGCCTTCACAGCCTGAAAACCTGTCTCAACTACTACCCTCTGGCACAAAGAAGACTTATCCACCCCGTGCCTATGCAATACCTTTCCAGGGACCCTTTGGGAGCCAGGATGCCTTTCGTTGTCTCCCCGTTGAGATAATCCACACGCTGCTTGCAATGCTTCCATGTGCCGATATCAAAAACCTACGAGCGGCCTCGAGGTCTGTTGCATCGGCTAGTCATCCTGCGGAATTCCCGCAGCAATTCTGGCGATCACGCTTTTCTCCGGAATTAGAGATGGGATTTGCGCTACCAAAAGATACCACTGGGATCCTCGATTGGCGAACCGCTTATTCGGCGGTCAAGAACGCAATAAATGACCCCAAGGGCTCTCCTCATCTCAAGAACCGACGTCGAATTTGGGAAAGGGTAGGCACTAAGACATCGATATTCACTGAATTAAAGGCCGGGGAGTCTTTGGATGATATGTCTCTTGATGAATTCGGGTGCTTGACGTTCGAGGTATGGCTTCATCAGTGGCTTGGTACTCGGTAATATGTGTTCAGTTCCAGTCAAAGCTCTGGTCGTGGCCTATCCTTTCAGTGTATGTTCATGTGGGAGATCTGAGTTATTAGTGGTATCTTCTCTATGGCCGAGTCATTGGCTCGTTTACGGAAGTATAATGGGGTCTGCTTTCCTTATTTCCTCCCTCTTTTCTCTCCTCTTTTCCTCTCTCTTGCTTTATCTCTCCACTCCGGCCCTTATCGTCTCCAAGTTGGAAGAAAAAATACATTCTATTCCCATCCACCTCTCTATCTATCCACTGTGATCTCCCTAAGAAGTTTAAAGTGACATTGAGATCATTCAAACTCACATTTCAAATCTAATCACCCAACGCCAGTAAAACACAACGCTAAATAAGCCAGAGCTCTATAAACTAATCACGCAAACAGTGCCACAAAGATTCCAGAGATATATACATTAGTCAATACAGCCATACGTCTCCGTTCATCAACGCAATTGACCATTTCACCAAGAGCCCTCCCCGTACCTCCCCTCCCACAGATCATATGTCCGATCAAGAAGGCAACTCAGTCAACTGCTTCCGTTGTGCCTCGTACGCATTTAATTCATTGATCGGATACTGATGACCGATACTCGGTTGCCCCGGGTGTATATAGTGGTGGTGAGGAGGGATTTGCGCTGCTTCGGCGGCTTTCTTTCGTCGATACCAGAGCCATCCGAGCACGGCGATTACGAAGACACCTGCCGCGGATCCGATTCCGATTCCGGCGGATGCGCCGGCGCTGAGTGGTGTTGATGTTGATGGGGATGAGGTGCTTGAGGGTTTGGATGTGGATGAAGCTGTTATCGAGGGTGTGGGTTCTGTGCCCGCGGTGGAGGTCCTGAATTCGCTTGATGTTGGTGTCTAGTTTGTTCACGATCCCGGGGCATAATGAGCATTCGATACAAGACAAGTTGGTCCGGTGAAGAATCGCAGGATGTCGACCTACCGGCGTCACGAACAACACTCCCAGTGCGTACAAATGTAGCCCTGGCTTCTGTGTCACCTCGTCGACGTTTATCGTGTTCGACACGAAGTCCGTTAATGTTGCCGTCACTACCCGCTCTTCAGTGTACTTTAATCGACATGGGAATAGCGATCCATGCGCTTTCTCAGTCTCTGATACGGCGCAGGTGAAGACGTGGTTACTATTGAAGACCGGTTTGATGGTGTTAGCGCTAGGTCTGAGGGATGTGTGCTCCGTATGTATATATGCTTCACGGCGTCGGGGCTATGGGAGGAGGGAAACGAACTTCGGACAACATGTTACCGTGTCTCGCTGATCACTCCCTTCGCATGATGCGGTTGTGTAATCCCCCGGACAGCTCGTTCCAACATATACGTCCGACGCGGCCCAGGTCGGCGGAAAGCAATCGGTCGTCTGGCTGGGTCCCCCGAGTACGGTCCGATTGTCGTGTTGTTTGTTGGGCCAGAACCAGAGCCAGTAATCCTCCTTGCGCAAACACCCTGCCTTGGAGGGAGCCCAGTCTGCGGGTATTGTTGGTCGGCCAGTGATTGTGGTCATGTTCTGGTTGGATGTGCACCGTATGGAGGCGGAGGCGGATCAATAGGGTTGAGGGGCCAGAGGAGGAGGAAGAGGAGGAACAAAGGTGAAAGCCAGAACGGGAAGAAGATCGAAAATAAATTGCGCGTGAATCCCTTCAGCCCCCTGCGTGAGGGGAAGACCATCGTCCGCATTTTCGCCCCCACGTGGCCTGCCTCGTAAAAATGATTCCGCTCAAGGAGCGTCAGAGTCTCCAAGACTCTTGGGGCGGCGCCTTGCGTGCCTAGCCGCTTGGCGTCGTTGAACCGGTGCCAACGCCCGGTGTGCGAACAGTGGGTATAGGAGTGAGAGTTGTGGGATCTTGAAAAGCTTGTTGATCTTCGATCACTAAGGTGCCGGTGAAAATAAATTTGTCAATTCAGGTATATATATAAAGTCTAGATCTCTAAGTGTTTTCGTTTGTATGGGCTCTCGCGCATCTAGTCAGCTCGGGAAAACCCCCAGAGTATACTTTCAGGTTTATCGCGAAGCTTGCCACGCATTGACGTAGGTTGACATGTTCAGCAAGAACTCAGTGCGCTTTGGGTCCCATCCCAACACAATCTTCGCTCGAGATGCGTTCGAATTGCAGACTAAACTCAGGGCCTCCAAGAACGGGTTCCCGTGAGTGCCAGTATACTCCAGAGACGCCTTCACATTTAGCACGGCCTTTGCGGCTTCCATGATCTCGACCATGGAAACAGTCTCGGTTACAAGATCAAATATCGGCCATGTGCCTAATCGACCATCGAGGCGGTCAATGATCGCGTGCATACCAACCGCGACATCGTCCACATGGACGATCCCAGTCCGGGCAGCCTTATCAGCGGGCACTTGGATCGGGCCGGTAGTCCCGGTCTTCAAAGCTTCTGACAAAACACTCCACCAGGTATCGAATACCCAGGAGCTGCGACCATACATGGCACCGGGTCGAACGATCGCCACGTCCAAGGTATCTTGGGCGGCGAGAATCGCCTGTTCATGAGCTGGTCGCCACGCGGTGGCGGTGGCAGGTTTGTCTGCGGACAATTTGCTGCCGACTGGAGAAAGGTCGCTGACACGGGTAGGAGGTGAGCCGTGAACCCAAGATCCTGACACGTAGACAAAGCCGAGCTTGGGAGCAATGATATATTCTTTTGAGAGAGCCTCTTGGCGGGCCTTGGATGCGTTGGTAACTGCAGCGAGGATTTGGCCGTAATGCTCGTAGGCGGACGACGCGTCAACCACGACGTCGATGGAGTTTGTGGAGATGACTTTGCTCAGGGTTTCGGGGTTCGTGATATCGTCTTCCACTGGGGTGATTTCGTTGACGAGCAAGTTCTTTGCTTTTTCCGGACTCCGTGCAGTGCCCCAGACTGTGTAAGTGCCTGCCCGGAGCAAGGATTTGGCGAGAGAAAGGCCAAGATAGCCGGTACCGCCGAGGATGAGAATGTTAGGCATTTCGATGTCCGTGAATTTCAGAGTTTAGGGAGGTATTTGGAAAATCTTTCACGTTGTAGCTGGAGTCCCTTGTTAGTTTCTCACCGTTCGAGTGTGCCTGGCATCTTTATACACCCGATCCATCTTGTATACAAGGGGTTATCGGTCTCAGTTCTCGGATATTGGTAATCCATGGTTCCACCTTCCGGACCCCGATGAGAATGCTGATTCGAGACATTGACTTCTAATGGCGTTGCATCCATCATGATGACTCTCGGTGACCGATACATCGAAGAAATAGAATCTCCCGCGCTCCAAATGGCCGATTTAGTTATGTCCGGTGCTGATGTCAGCCCACTCGAGACATGTGACCAATCATGTGCCGCAGGGGGTCCTCAGCCTTTCGGTCTCCGGTTTCATCTCCGCCGTCTGACAGTCTCCACTGCTTGTCGCTCCACTGCGAATACCTACGTGGACCTCCGCCTGGCTCCTGTCTTGCCCTTGCAGTGGTTTCCAATAGGGAAGCTCATCATGCCTACCACTGATCATCAAATCACGTCGATTGATCGAATCTCTGCTTCGTTCAAAGGCCAGCTAACACAAACCCAAGAGAAGCATCCCAGAAACGCTGCTTCTAGAGCCTTCGTTGTTTCAATAAATCAATCAATTATCGTAATTATATTTTCCGTTAAAGTCTCCCGATAGACTAAAGATCGCCGAAATATCGATCCGCCAAAAGCCCCAGCTGCCTCGACTGATCGGCTATAGTCTGAACATCCAAGATACCTTCTTCGCTCACAAACGTATCAACCAGACTCAACGGCACCCATTCAAAGTAGACGTTCTTCACTTCCACAACTTCCCTGTCCATCCCCTCGTGCAGAACCTTCATCCCCTTGATCCCGTCATTCCCCCAGGTATGCACCACCTCCTTGGGCCCGTTGTCTTCCCGCTTATTATCGTCGATTAGGCCGCAGGTTCCGTTGATCTTTTCGAGTCCGCTGAGCACGACAGTCTGTGCTTTGGGGGATACGTGCTTTGCGCTGAGGACAACGGGTAAAGAGCCGGTTTTGTTGCTGACGCCTTTGTGTGCGGAGATGCGGTCGGCGCCGAGGAGGACAATGTCGACGTTTTCTGCGGCAAGGGCGGCCGAGGCGTCGGTGTAGATTTTGATGTTGAGGTTCTTGTTCGAACCTTCGAACTGGGTTTTGAATCGGCAGAGGATGGACGATGCAATGCTGGCGCCCTCGAAGAGTGGCCGGGATTCCAGAACTCGCAGCTCGAGTGTCTGAATGTCTAGCGCGGCGAACGCATCGAGGATACTGTCGCGAATCGTCGAACTAGCGGACATCGTGAGAAGACTAATCTTGTCTCTTTTCCCCTCGGAGAGGAAATGCAATTTCAGGTACTCCGTAAATGACTTCATGATTCGCCCTGTATTCGCCGTTCGTCTCGTCACCTCGAAATCCATCAACGCGAGAATGCGATCCCATTTTATATCGTCATCCGTGTTCTGAGTTAAGACGTCATGGATCCCCGCGAGGGCCGATAGCACGGCGTTCAAAATCGCTGCAGCCATACTTTCGCGCCCGTTCTTGACCAAATGCCACCCGACCGACCGCACCGTGGACCACCAGTTCTCGTCCAGCCCGTTCCGCGTATGCATGATGAAATCACGGAACCCAGACAAGGCGATGGCTGTCAGCTCGTTGGCTCCACTCTCGTGGTCGGTGTGTAATCGGTCGAGGCAGGCGGCGAAGGCCTTTCCAGCTCGCGGGTTGACCGAGCCTTCGAACCAGACACGGTGGAGTGATTCCTTTAGTCGCGGGACTTCGCCAAAGGATTCGTTATCCGAAACTGCTCGTGGATCGTGCCATTCCCATCCCTCGTGCTCCCAGTCTATCTTGATAGTGCTTTCCGCGCTGGTGAGCCGGAAAGCGAACGGGTGAATCGTCCATTGTCGGTTCACGGATGGGTCGCTGAATGTGAACGGTTTGCCGGTTCGCCAGAGTGATAGAGATGCGGGTGTAAGCGTGGTTTCTTCCTGAAGTTCGCGCCAAGCGGCCGTGAGGGGGTCTTTGTCGTTGCGACTAATAGTACCGGAGATCGGAGCCAGGTGGTGTCTTGACGAACGTTAACTATGTTTTTCGATGGGGTAAGGGACAGAAATCAGACTCACTGGTAAGTGTTTACCTTGTCGCTGCGACGGAAAAGCGCAACGACAGGCTCGTTCGGTTGATCAGGTGGAAAATGGAAGATAAAGGACGATACGACACCCCTCTTCTCAAGCGTTGAGGATGGATGGTTCGTTGTCATTGTCGCGGGGCTCGGTTCACGAGAGGATGCCCACAATTTAGAAGACTAGGCAAACCTACTCTATGTGCAATCGGGAGACATCCAGATGCCTTCTTGAAGAGAGACTTCCAAATATATAAGCCCTCCCCATCGACATATGTTCTCCGCAGTAGAGGAAATGATGGATCGGCAAAGGGGGAAGTGGCGACGAGAAGAGGGGAAGCTCCCTTCCTCACACCATCCGACAAGTCAGCCCACCCAATAACCGCCCAGGAATCGACATATGCCTGTTTGTCATTTCTTCACAGGATACAGCCCGGTTTCCAGAGCGAGGGACTCGACGGCGAAGCTGGTGGGACGTGATCCGCGGGATTTGGACGGCCAGGAGCACATGACGTCATGGTCGCATCAGTCAACAATCAGCTTGTTCCAGTGTTTATCGGCTGTTCTTGACAACGCTGATCCTGTTCCTCTTTGATACTGACTGGGCTAACGGAATTTTATCACCATGCCAAAATATACGGGCTCTTGCTACTGTCGGATGATTGAGTATGAGCTGGACCTCTCCTCGCCAGACGATGCGCGCACATCCTTGTGTCATTGTCGGAATTGTAAGGTTAGTTTCTCACTAGCTCCTGGAAGACTGAGGGGCATTTAATGACCATTGGTGGTTATAGAAAGCCTTCGGAACCAACTACGGTCTTACAGCCAAGATCCCCAAAGACGCCATCAGTATCGTTCGCGGAACACCCAAAGAACATGCGGCAGATAATGGATCCGGCGTCGTGATTCACCGAGAATTTTGTGCAGAGTGTGGAAGCTTTATTCTGGAATATGGGGTGAGCCGAGTAAAATGCATTGATGTAGGTATTGGGGGTTGATCTGTTCCTAGGATGCCGTCAAAGAACAGTTCCGATATCTCTGCGTTGGGTCCCTGGATGATCCGGAAGCTTTGCCACCGAAGGGCGAGTTCTTTTGTAGCTCGAGGACTAGCTGGATGCCTGAGGTTCCCGGTACGTTGTCCTCGTTATCGGTGTGATGGTGGTGGCTAATCAGTCCACAGGCATTTTCCACAAGCAGCAGGTCAAAACATAGGCACTATGCCATTGGATACCAGTGGTTAAACTTGATATGGTTTAGCCGAGTTTGTGACGCACGCTTCTTGCTTATAACAAGCAATGCTGTATTTGTTCTAACGTCAGCAAGATGCTATGGCCTGTTCTATCGACTTATTGAATGCCCGGTCTCTTTTACCTCTGCTTTCACAAGTTGATTCGTCGCTGTTTCCTTGCGTAGCTGTACTATGTCCACTGAAAATGGGAATTCTTTACCTTTGCGGCTACCGTGTGACGCCAGGCTGGCTTTCCCAATGGTACTGGCGGCATACATAATTTCTTGAGGGAAAGACAAAAAGTGCAATTCCGCGAGGGAGATGTTCGTTGAGGCGTTGCACCACACAGATAGATGCAGTGGCGGTCAACTGGGGGCCCTGGCCACTGTCCGGATCCACCAGGGGGTGGCATAATATCGAAGTGGTGTGAAGTCTGCTTTCATCTGTCATCATTAGTAGATATTAGCCTGGCGTCACGATAATTCAAACCTGGGTTTATGACTGCAATTGGAATACAGTCCTTGTATCTATTCTCTCGTTATTCCTTCCCATATCATGGTCAAAGATTGGTAGGATTCGCAGAAAGCAGTCCGTTGTCCACAAATTCCAGTTGCCGCCAGAGGTTATTTAAGCAATGATTCATCAAAACGAAGGAACAAGCATATGGAAATCCGCGCGAGAATTCATCAAAGCAATGGAGTTACCATCCAAAAGTACGGCAACGGACTGCAAGTAGCATGAGGAAAATGACACTTCCCGAGTTGGCAAGTTCTAAGCTACCAGATGATGAAAATATGCCCAGACAGAAAAAAAGAAATTGCAAAGCCACCAGTGGCCCTTGGTGACGCCATCCGGGACAAGAAAAGGTTTGGCATATGGTGACGATACCCGAGCACAAGTATTGGGTCCGCCGGGGTATTGAGATCTGATTTAAAGCTACTCCACAAAGCACCAAATGTGAACACCAACCATCAGCGGCTCACCCGACCGAAGCTCTCTGTCGTTTAGGAAGTGACGATGCAGGTTGTTTCGGCCGTCGGATCGTTTTAGGCAAGGGGGCCACGTAGAAGCACAGGATTTGTTGATCTAGACAGTGCGCGCACCGCGGTCGCTGACGATCGCATGTCGCTCCCCACGCTTGGCATGCCTTGCAGGGGTAATTCTCCCGCTCGGGGATCTGTTCCTGTGGGGCTTCGTTGGGAATGTAACGCGGCGTGTCGCCCGCGGCCGTTCCTGGTCCGTTGGCCTTCCCCGGCGCCAGACTGTAATTTTGGTCTGCTCCACGTCGCGGGGAATTTTGGATTGTAGCCTGAGATTCGGCGGGTACGACCGTCCAGTTCGACCATAGCCATTGTGAAAAACGCCGGAAGAAGCAGGTTCTCTCGAGCGATCGACTACGGAGGGTGTTGCAGGATCGTCGCGTTTCCATGCTCGGCATATTATTGTCTGTCATGATGGTGACGCGTGCTGGAGGCGACGGGAAAGATCTGGAATGGTTTTGGAGATGGGCGTTTTATCTTTAATCAGGTAGATAGCGGGAAGCTTCCAGGATTAGTAGCAGTAGTGACGTCGCTCGCCTCGGGGATCCTCACCCGTTGATGGACAACTTGTGTAGGAATGATTTTCGACCGTTCTTTTGACTTGAAAGTGAAAAGAGAAAGACGACAACGGTGAGGGGGGAGTAAGGAAGGGGGGAAAAGGTCCGGCAGAAAGGAAAAACAGGCAGTTGAAATATGGCCACAGCCAAATGAAAGGGACCCCGGCCTTGGGCCCAACACGAGCAAATAAGGCGTCGATCGAGGCCCGAGAACGCGTCAAGAGGAATCTATGCAACGGGTGACAGGGAGGATGGAGAACAAAGGGATCGAACCCAACCAAAAAAGTGGGTTCTCCGCATCAATTGGAATGCGCGTGCCAGCTCATCTCAGGCACCCGGTCTGGACTGACTCCGGGAAGATGAGATCGGCATTACATCAGGCGCCGGAAAGACGTTGATGTTTCCCCAAAGAAAACTGGCAACGACAGCCCGTAAGGCGTTTTGGATAGAAGAAGTGATAGAGCAAGTCTAATCACGGATGGGAGGGATGGCCGTTGTCATCAGGGGAGATGGATGTCATGGGAAAGAGTCCTCTCCTCTCTGGCGTTGAGATGATGGGGACCAACACCTGACCGGGAATGGTGCCCCAGGCCACCTTAGCGTCCGTTGTGGCAGGCCTGAGGCTGTCATGCGCTGCACCTCCGGCCTCCTTCCTGCAGAACCGGTGCAACGTCAATCTGCATCAGCACCGTTCGGACGAGGTTTGAAAGATCCCCCTCTCACACACCCTATTGCAGATGAGAGGGAAAGCACAGTAACCTTACTCGTGTCCGGATCAGCATAATAGAAGACTGATCGATAGTTGAGCAGAGCTTCACTAGACAGATCTCAGTTTGCCCGCGAACGTTACCAGGTAACATAAAGATGGTACTTATTGAGACATACAGGACTAATAAAATAGTGCTCTCATATGTCGGGTTTGACGGCAAGGATAGGTGGGACAAGCACCTCTCACCTGTACACCCTCACCTGCATGTTCCCTATTTTGGAGAATAATCAGTCCGTTCTTCAATTTCCCCGATGCATTCCTTCCGGTGGCCATAGAAAGATGGTGCTCGGTACTGTATGAATAACAAACTACGGTCCGCTTCAGAATACAGGAGGAAAGGCTTTTTCGCACTGCAATTTGGATAACCCGGAATATGCAGACCAGAAGGTGTAGACCCGACATCTTGAGATTCAGTACGATGCATTGACTGGTTTGCTTATTCTGAACCAGACTGCCTGTATGGCCAGGATGTGAGGCACGATCGACGGCCTAGACACAACGGTGGTTTGATCAAACGAAAAAGTATGCCCTCCCCAAGAGCATAAGGATCTTGGGAGCATCCCTTGGCGATATTCCTGTTTGCATCCCCTTGTTAAACTTTTTTCTAAGCATCATGATTGCCTGAAGTGCAATGGGCGAAGTTATTCGCCCATTGCAGATTCTTAATCACCCACGAACAATTCTCCGTGGTCGGTAGTCCGTACTGAGTACGGGGTATTGCTGATCCTCAAGGTGTGGATCAGGTACGGCCCGCCCGAGATATCTCGATGGAGCCACTTGCTATGATGAGGTTAATGTGTTTTCGACCATGACATACTGGGCCTGAGAGAGATCATGTACGGAAAAGTTCCCCCAATACTCGTGCGTCATCAAATCCAGGACACAATAGCTAATGTGCACACAGACGTGGAGCGTGCAATTTCGGTACGGCTAGGACGCCTTGGGGGCCAAAAACGATGTTTTGTCCGGACCTCCAATCGACCCACCGGGCAGAGTCTGATTCGAAATCTGGTGATCTTCAGGATTGCGTTCTCAGCAAAAATTTTACCTATCAGATCGGCACGTGTCCCTTGCTGGTGCTGCAGTCGCAACAAGAAAAGGCTTAGCTGTGCTGACTGCCGCTGTTGGTTGGGAGCGTTGAAAGGATTTTGGATTCCTTATGCCTGCACGGTGGACCAAATTAGGAGTAAGAAAAAATAGTCTTGTGGTTTTTCGGGCAGCTGAAAGTGTCTATGCAGGACGGAGTAGGTTTAAATCAATGTTTAGCGTGGCATTGGCCAAATACTGAGAGCTGTCAAGGTGGACTGGCTCGATGGCTTCAACGGGTAACTATGACCTTTCTTGCTATGAGATCATCGGGCTGGCTAATGGTTCACGTCGTCTGCTCTAGTCCGATACTTAGTCCTTCTCCGTCCATTTTTGCGAATTGTTTGGTTCCCCGACGAGCCAGGGCTGCAATCGGCAATTAGACATGCGCTGATCAGCGGGATAGTACTGCACATCCATACCATTCTGACCGGTTCGCAGAGGATATTCACGAGGGCACGAGTCCGACAGCAGGAACTATTGGGCGGGTAGCAAATTAGATCTTTTTTGGCATTGCGCGGACGTTTCGCTAGCGGTTCCAGCCTCAATGGCATGGCCAATTATATGGATCAAACGAATGAAGCTCCATCGAAGATCCATCAATATCCACCGTAGAATCCGCTCAGGGGCCACAGATCCTCGTCCGGACCTCACAGGATAAAATCACGCCCCCTGCTCCATCAAACTAATCCATACGGTGTGGGAGCAAAAAAACCAACCCTTGATCGCTGCCCGCCCGCATTCTTAATTTTGTTTCTTATTCTATTCTCGTCGCTGATGCGCGTTGGATGCCATACGGGCCGCTTTTATTAATTGCTTGTTTGCGCTATAATTATAATCGTAACCATGTCGGAAAAAACGTGTTATGCCATGCACGGTGGCTCCATTCGTGATATCAACGTTGACGTGCCGTGTGGAGTTACGAATTCGACGAACGAACATGTCATCTGCTGCGTGCAGGGGGATTACTGCCTGAGCAACTCGATCTGTCTGCATGTCAGCGACAATGGAAACAAGGGATATTACAATGCCGACTGCACGGACGAAACGCTTCAGGATGCGGCATGTGGGACGCGATGCGGTAAAGTTCTCTGGAATGTTGTCAGCTTCCACGCGGTGCGGTTGAACTAATTCGTCTCCTGGCCCATCAACAGGCGGTCGACCTCTTTCTGATTTAATATGGAACTCGAATACCGGGCACTGGGCTTGTTGCGGGTACAACAGCACCACGAAATCCGCCGATTGTTCGGATCCTAGCGATGAGTTATATCCTGCCCCGGCGCCCGATCAGCTCGCGACGATTCAGTACCTGCCCACTCATGGTTATCCGACATATGCATCAGCCACGTCCACGGCCACGGGCACCTCAACGGCTACGGGCGCTGCAACTTCTTCGGCTTCATCATCATCGTCATCATCGGGTCTCGGGGCTGGCGCCGCAGCGGGAATCGGGATCGGAGTGGGAGCTGGTGTCGTCATGATCGCTGCACTGCTGGCACTATGGTATATACGACGAAAGAAACCGGCGCAACCTCAATATATCCCGACGCCATATGGATACAATGGTATTCCATCCCCAGCGGTACATCCGAACGGTATGCAACCTTCCTGGACTTATCCGTCGCCGGGACAATATCCGATACAGGAATTGGGGAAGACGGATCCTGGGCCGAGGGAGCTGGACTCGCAAGCTAAATAAATTGTACTGATCGCGACGGTGTATTGGAGGGCTTGGATGGTAACCCAGAGATGGAATGGTTGTTAATCAACCGAGAGCGAACTTCTGGACCCCCCTCCTTTCAGGGTTCTGGAATTCTTCAGGGGAGTATGCGGACAAGGGAGAGGGGCTTGTATTATAATAATGATACAAATGTTGTAAATATGAACTTTATATTTGATCAGAACCTATTCATAGGAGCTGCAGTGGGGTTCTTTTGATGATACATCATCTGTATACCAGGATTTAGGTCGAGATGAAACCAGTCCTGATACGGGAATATGCTGGGATGCGCTCCAGGTATCAGCAATACGAGCCGTTATTTCAACTCCATGCATTGAGCATGAACGTTTTAAGATCCTTCGTATGGATATCGGGAAATCTTTCATTCAATCGGCTTTCCGTAGGCAGATCGAACACTCCGGCAATGGTAAGACGGCTAACCAATACGGTTGTGTCGTAGACCTCATCTTCCGTATACGGGCACCCAGGCGGCATCTGAGGAACGGTGACCTTTCCTTCCTTGATGCTGTCAGGGGCGTCATACACGACCTCGAATTCCTTCCCTGCACGGTGTTAGCACAGTTTCCATTGTTCTGAGTATTCGGCTGATGTTCATACCTCGCACCTCTTGTCCTAGTTTGATGATTTCGTTATATGTAGGCTCATCTCCAACGATAATGCTGAATTCAGGCCAGTCGTCTACTTCTAATAGTCGTGTGATGAATGTCGCCATGTCTTCGCTGTGCGTCATGCAGATTTTATCATTCCCGTCTCCAGAAATAGCAGCCTTGCAATTGGCGATATCCGTGCCGAATGTCATCGGCTGAAGATTGCTCTGGGTTTTTTTCCCGGGGTTCATTCCCCAGTAGTCCATGAAGAAACCGGGGATCACCCGAGTGTATTGCAGATTGGTCTTCTGGAGCAGATCCACTGCGTCTAGGAAATGTTGAATGCTCGGGTCAACGGGTAAAAGCCTAGTATTATTAGCGGGGACTCGAAAATGGAGGGAACACATACTCCTTGGTCTGTATAAAAGAGTATTCACTGGGGATGAATCGCGTCGTAACGTTGGATTTGTCGGCAGCTTGGATCAGGTTCAGCTGGGACTGACTTGTTTGGTCGTCGTAGATTGAGATGGCAGAAATGACAGTATGCACTGCATTTTCCTCCAATGTCTTTGTCAAAGAAGAGATGTCATCGTAGTCTACCTGCAATTTTTGCCTCGTTTCAGGGCTGCTGATGTCAGATGGTTCTGGTGCCTGGACTCCGTTAGCAATTGTAACATTATGTGAGATGATGGTAACACACGCTTCGAGTCAGGATGATGACTTTTCCCTTTAGCTTGCTGACAATGGTCTTGCCGACACCGCCGGTGCCTCCAGCTACAGCAATGGACATCTTCTCTGCAAATATCTGATGAATGCGATGCGTCAACAGGAAAATGAAGGTTAACTCCGATTCATCCGATGCAGCTATCTGTCCCACCTTCCGTATGTGGATTAGTGCTGGTCTGGTTGGCTCGTTGCCTAAGGCATTAATCCCTGGGAAATTGCTCCTCCGGGAGTCTCGGACGGCAGAATTGCGCCTAGACCGCCAAGGCTAAGTCGACCGCCTTCAGGAGACTGGCTGCCGCGAACCTCGATCTCAGAACGCGCAGGAAAAGCACTCTCCCATCGGTAAATCGCCTATCACTGCCCCCACAGAGCCGATAATTGGAAGCAGATAGCATCATGTGAAAGCTATCATGTTTGTTCATTCTTCCCTTAATTCTTGTAAATCCAGCCAGCTGTTTCATGCGAGTAACCGTGTTTAAGTTCTCTAGCCCATACGATTTCTGTTCACTATGAATTGGACCACATCCAAATTGGGAAAAAAGATCTGTGGTTTTTGATAATGATGAGATGTAATTAGCTCGGAGGTCGGGAACAACATTAGTCCGTCCGAGGCTCCCATTTTGCAGAGGCCACAATCCTCTTCAAACACTCAAGCACTCAAGTATCTCTGTACTCTAGGCTACGTTTTAGATAGAGTATTACTTCATTCATTCGCATTCTCCTTATAGCTAGGTCTCGTACAGCTCGGACCGATCGAACTCCACTATTCCTCTGAGCTTAACCACTTCATTGGTTATGAGCCCGGGTTTGCAGTAACCAACCAGGCACCCCGGGAGATCTGTATGGGTTTCACATCCTATATAGACTATCGATCCGAATCGAGCTGCGAGCTCTACCCTCGACGTCCTACCTACGAATACTATCGGCCAGTGGATTCCTAGCGTACTACGCTGAGTTGTGGATACGCCAACACCATGTCAGATAAAGCGAATCGAACGGAAGAAATATCTCATCAGATACCTCAGCGACCTGAGCCGTCCCATCAATCGAAGGCCAGTGGAAGGCTTAATGGGAAGCCATCTATAGGTAGTGCGGTTATTGACCCGGGTTTAACGGTCAATAAGTTCTCAATTGAGAAGCTTTCTGAGGAAAACGCTCGTTATTGGTTTCATGCCATGGAAAGGCAATTGAAGGTTCAATTTGCCTGGCAAGCCGTTAATGGTTTTCATCAAGTGACAAGGGCGGAATGGGATCAACTGATAGATTCAGATCTGGATTGGATGAAACTAGACCTAAAGGCAAATGTCATTTTAGAGCATGGTCTGACAGCAGACACGATTTTAGAGGTTAAAGACCTCGTGTTCGCCGCGGAAAAGTGGGATCACCTACGGGCTACTTATCTGAAATCTTCAGATGCCATAAAAGCAAAGCAATTGCTAAAATTGGCAAGCTGGCAGCAAAACCCTGATCAGCCGGCTAGGGAAGCTTTCAGAGAAATTGAGCGAATCAATCAAGTAATGATCGATTTGAATGGCAGTAAAACGGTCAATCTTGATGATCTAGTGGTGATATTTTTCCTTCGTGGTTTGCATGCGAACTATTCGGGCTTAAGAACCACTTTGGTTGACTCGAATACTAAATTGACGAAGAGTTTTGTCCTAGACTGGGCTAATGACTTTGACAACATGCCCGGAAGATTTGAAAAGAAATCAGAGAAGGGATCCCGTGCCCAAGAAAAGAAGAAAAGTGTGAAATGCTTCCACTGCAAGAAAACCGGTCATTATGCGAGCAAATGCCCAAGAAAACAGGACAGCAGTGACAGTGATCATAGTGATCATAGCACTGAAAGAAAGAAGGGCAAGAACCGCAGGAACGACCGGAAGAAGAAATTAAAGCAAAAAGACAGACTTGTTGCAGAGGATCGGGAGAAGCTAAATGATTCAGACCAGAATAATTATTACGGCGCGCGAGTTATTTATACTGACAGAAATATGCGACTCACTGATCAGACTTATTCGGAAGAGGTTATATCAGAATCAGTCTATCAGAAACTGCAGGAGAGGACTGTGTTTGTCAGGGAAGGCGCTTGCCGAGCTTCAGTAAATCAAGATTGGTGTTTTGATAGTGGAGCTACATGTCATACAACGGGTCAGCGAGAAATTTTTGAATATCTCGATCCTACGCGAAAGGGGGCCCTTACCGTGGCAAGCGGTACGCAACTGTCTATTGAAGGGCGAGGAATTGCAAAGATTGAGCTGCCGAATGGCTCAACAGTGCGGTTAGGAGGTGTCATGTATGTACCAGGATTGGCAGGAAATCTATTGTCTTTAGAGGCACTTCACACCGCTGATTTCGAATCAAGAGGTTCGAAGAGAGGATATCAACTTCGGAAAAATGGCAAGGTTGTTGCCAGAGGGAAAAGGACAGGGAACACGGCATATCTTGACTGGGTGAAACATATTGATACTTTATTTGTCGATTTAAAACGTTCAATGTAACATGCTCGGTTAGCTCTCTCTGTAGATAACGAAACAGTAGAGAAACAGTAGCTTTTATACTGTCGTTTGGACTACCCCGGAAGGAAGCGATTCAATGAATGTATCGGTTTGATGCATATAGAAGAGCTTTGGGTTAGCAAGCAAGATACAATGCTTGAGGACGACTGTAAGATGTGTATAAGGGCAAAGCAAGCCAAGAAGCATAGTTACGTTCCAGTTCCTAAGGCTAAGAGACCTTTGCAACGTGTTTACATGGACTTTTAGGGACCAAACCGAGAAGGTGCAGGTAATGAAAAATAGTACCTATCTCTAATTGATAATTGTATTTATAGCTTTTGATCATGACCGATCGAACAATCAATAATGTCAGACACTATTTTGAGCCTTTGCTGCGGCAGGCTGAACGACAAGCCGGTAAAATGTTGTTAGTAGTCAGAACTGATAACGCTGCTGAGTTCAAAGCTCTGGTGCCGTGGGGTAATTCAATTGGTATTGAATTTGAGTTTATCGAGGCTGAAACTCCCCCACAAAATGGTGTTGCAGAGCGATTCAATCGTGTCATCTTAGAGATCGCGAGAGCTCTATTATTTGATGGAAAAGTCAGTCGGGCTTATTAGAAGTATCTGTTGTTACAGCGAATTACCTGCGAAATCGAACTACAAGATTGAAAGGTTCTGCGGAAGAAGGCGAGGAAGACAAGTCTCCATATAAACTATAACATGGTTACAAACCAAAAATGACTTACCTTAGAGCTTGGGGTTGCCGTGTGTTGTATCACGCAAAGTCAGATAGCAAGTTTGAAAGCCGTATAGATGAAGGGACATTCTTGCTATATAAAAAAAGTAATAAACAATATCTAGTACTGCTGAAAGGGGGTAGCAAGTTGGAATTTGTCACTAGCCCTGAATTCCGTGAGCGAGAATACGGTTACTGCTCGGTATAGAATTCTACGCATGTTGAACCCGTGAGAAGTGAACCTGTGGAGAAGGGTTCTATGGACGCCATGATACCATTCTAAAGAACAAGTCTTGATTCAATGGAGGTTTATTCAACGCCTAGCAAGTTGAATATCGTTAGCATGATGGATAAGCCGGAGAAACCGTCTGAAAAGCTGCCTGAAAGGGAGGTAATCCTTGGCGCATTTTACTTCCAGATGGTGCTGGGCTCGCTATCGGCTGAAGACGAGCACCTTGTCAGATCCGGAGAGTGCGATGAGACAGCAAAGTTGCCACGAGAGGCATCTCTTGCTATTTCTCTATTATTTAATCTAATTGATGCAACCGAGTCAATCACTGGTCACACACGCGCCTTTTTTGTAGACCGGGCACTTTCGGAGATTCCCTGTGCCTTGCATCCGGACCTTTTTCCGCAGCGCCTCTCGATTCCCACCTTCCATGTACGTGCAAAAACATGGTTTGGTATCAAGGTAACACCGACCTGTCTCGTGCCCTTCATGTGATTATTTTGTGAGGAAATCAACACTCAGGCTGTGATACCAATTAACTGTTGGAACGATATTGTCAACCAGACTAGGGAGGTGGAGGATCCTGGCCTAACCTACATACCATACAGCACCTTGC